TTGTTTTATGAAAAAAAAAAAACTTTTCCTCAGTAAATATGCGCACGCATCAAAAGTCAAGTGTCCCGAATGTGGGCAGCCATCACTCCGCATCCGCATGCGTACAGCGGATCGATATCATTGATATCGGGATGGCCCATGGATCATGGATGTATAATAAGAAAACATGGATGTATAACTAGAAAATGCGTGCGAATGCTGTAAATTGCGCAAATTTGTTGCTGAATTTAGCTAAAAATGCAGAAAATCTGAATATTTTAATAGTTGAATGGTGACTGTGTAGATGCTTTTAGCAGCAGAAACCAAGTAGGCCTAAGTGTGTTGCTGAATTTAGCGGAAAAATGCAGAAAAGTGAAATGATTTGTTAACAGCTCAAATGCATTGCACTGCCTCAAAGTCCTGAAATAGCTGAAACATGTTATAGTTGAATGGTGTTCCGAGCTGAAAGTGGGCTGAAGGAGTTAGATATAAAATGTACGTAGTAGTATACTGTAAGTAAAAGTAGTAGTAGTAGTAGTAATAGTAGTAGTAGTATATTACCTGTAGTTCTCACAGGACCCACAACCCTGCAAGGTACACAGGAAACACACACACACACACACACACACACACACACACACACACACACACACACACACACACACACACACACACACACAGAGACATTATTTCCTTTTTTTAACCAATTTCTTTAAACCAATTCAGAGTGTTTTGAAGTGGAGACAGGGGCTTTCCATAGGGCACATTTGTGTTCCCTCTTCCTCCCTCTTCAGGTTTTCTCTGACAGAAGAGGGTCTGGCTTTAGGGTAGCGCTTAAGTCTTTAGAGGGAACCAAAGGTCCAGGAGGAGACAGAGAGGAGGCCAGGACAGGAGTGAAGGAAACGAGGAGGAATATGAAGAGGAAAGTGGCCTGGGGCTTGTTGACCTCACTGCTAGTGATGATGATGAAGAGGAGAAGGAAGAGGAGATAATACAGTGAGTGTGCTTCAACACCTAGAAGTCTTTACCTTCTTCTGGGACATTATCATTATCTCAAAAAGTACTAGTTTCTACTCTGAAATGCATTTAATTCGTACCATTATTTTCCCCTTTGTCATATGTTTGTCTTTCTCCTATCAATATATTTTTAACTTATGCTTGGACTGATCAAATAAATGTGTTGGGACCATTTAAACATTCAAGATTCAAAATAACCTAGGTCTTGGTCATGACAATCCTAAATCCCAGCCTCTTCCAACAACTAACGACATTAAAAGGAATACATATAGTCCAAAAAGAAACAGAATGGTGCAAGTAAAATGCAAAAGTAGATATAAAATAACTATATTCATGTAAAAAGTAAATACAGAAAAATACGGTGCATTCTACTTACATACATGCCAACCTTTCCAAATCCAAAAGAGGTAGGTTTGCGCGCGGCAAATGTACACGCCCAAATTAGGTAATCAGAAGAAATGGAACCCCAGTAATTACATGTATAAGCCATGTATTTAACATATATTGCATCATTTTATGCATTTTTCAGAAAAAGTGGTAGTTTGGTAAACAGTGACATCAACAACATGTTTGGTCTGTAAAATGCCCGAAAAGTAAAAGAATGGGAGATAAATATCCCAAAGTCTCCACATTTTATTATATTTGTAATGTGTTTCTGGTCCTCTTTCAGTTGAGACAGTGTAGATGAAGGATGTGTCAGGATGTAGAACTCTTGTGTGAACATTGGATAAAGCCAGGTTCATATTCTTGTTTCATGTTGTTGACATATTAGAGTCAAAGGTTTGCACAGAGCGAAATATCTTTGTGTTGCGCCATAAATCAGAAAATACTGCATTAAAAAAGTCATTTCCTGCATGTTCTATTGATAAAGTGTGATATAAATAATGTACAGGCTTTCAGATTGCTGTAGTTGACTAAACAGAGACATTAACGACATGTTTGGTGTTGAAAATGTCAGAAAAGTGAAAGAATGGGAGATAAATATCCCCAAATCTCAAAATTGTATTATATTTGTTGTGTGTTTGTTGTCCTCTTTCAGTTGAGATACTGTAGGTGAAGGATGCTTCAGGAAAAGACCAAACACTGGATGTCTTTCAGTCGCCAACATGTGTTTTCGAGACACTGATATTAACGGGAAAACCCTGCAGGACTCAAATGCCTCGTCTCTGTTCCCTTAAACTCATTTGGGAGTGATTACCCCCGGTCGTTGTTTCTCTTTCAGAAACACATAGGACTGTTTGTATGATGGGATCGCAGACACGCTGCAAACGGTGTCCGCCAAAAGTCGAGTCCAGTGTCTATGTAGTGTCATTTTTATTTGTTATAGTTTGGGAAGATTGAAAATCAGTAGGGAAAGTCAGCTAAGTCGGTAGGCGGTAGAAACATGTCAAAAGCGGTAGACTACCGCCCAAATCAGTAGAGTTGGCAGGTATGCTACTATACAAAAATATGTAGACTTTACTTGACTTTACTTTGTGTGTTTTAGCTTGTAATGTTTCTGTTTAATACATGAACTCTCTCCAATTATGGATGTGTGCTAGTAATATATATTTAAGACAGAAATATCTCCATTATGTCTTATGATTGCACTTGTATTGTTGAACTGATTGTAAATACATTTAAATTAATTGAACTTTCTTTTTCCAGACCTACAGAGAGCCCGACCTCTGCTTCCCAGCCGAGGATTGTCGTTCCTGGGATGTTCTTTTCAGGAAAACCCCAAAATGTACCGGCAACGAGCAGAAACCCAAATTCATGGAGTCTTCTTCTTGGCTCCTACGAGATCAACCTCTGTGTTGACTTCATGGAGACAACTGGTTAAGACAGCTGTGTGTTTTATCTGTGTGAATCAAACGTGTATGAGGTCAAGATACGGCCGTACTTCAATGAGTTACAGGGACACGACAGCCTCATGATCCTGCTGCGAACGCCTGAGGAGGGCAAGAAATGATTATTCGTAATTTTGTCGAGAGCATATAATTGTACGTAAAGCTGAAGAACTATGGGTAAGTTGATATTAGTTGATAATATAATTGTCCTTATAGGAATAATACACAGTAGGTAACTACTTGTGGTAAAATGAGTTTGCTCAGCAGACGTTAATTTAGGCCTACGGCTGTACCCACCCAGCAGGAAAATAGGATTGAGCGGCAACAGCACATTGAGCAGAGAAGGTATGTACCCAGTCGGATAAAACCGTTTAACTTTGAGGGAAATGTGAAATGGCACAAGTGTGAAATTGTAACTTGGGGATGTTGTACTTGTTTCCCCACCACTGTTTCTATCTTAAAAGTACAATGTCCTGATGTATCATCTGTGACCCACTCCTCTATTTAAAACGCTACTGAACACCATGAAAGGAGTAAATGATTTATCAGCAATAATAACTATTTTCCAACTCTTACTCTACATGATGCTATGAAAAACCAATCTTTTAGCAGCAGATTTACTGATTACAAAGCAGATGTAAACACAAATGTTATCAGAAGTCCACCATCCAGATCATCATACTCTTTGCTGCTAAAAGTTATCTGTACGCATTTTTTCTCCTGTGGATTTATGCAGCTGTGTTTGAGTCCACTGACACATGTATGTTTTTTATGAATGTCTGAGCAGTTTTCCATCTACAATATAATATAAACTGACCCTGGTCTGGCCTTGCCAACTAAGTGCTGGGGAACCACTAAGTATGAGTCTAAATATTAATGAATAAAACCTTAAGTGTGTATTTCAACCTTTATTATGAAAGATGAAAAGACATTACAAGCACACACAGTGAGTGTTGTTGCTTTAGTATCTTCATTATTTATATTTCATGCCTTTAAAAAAGTATTGATTTTATATAAATGAGCACACTACTTGAATTACAATAATTTGGAACTGTATTTAAAGGCAGAAAGGACTTGAATATTTAATGATAATTACATCACCATTATAGACAATGATTTTCCCTAAACATATAAGCTGAAACATAATTTAAAATGAGTTTAGTTTTTACATTTCAAAACTGTTAAATAAGATTGTCCAGCAATGGCTACTGGTTAAGCCTATTGCAGGCCATGAGTTTACTGTGTGGTTGTGCAGCATTTTGAATTAAAAGCTCTGTGTCATCAGTATTACTCAGATGTGCACAGCGCTTTAACAGTTTTGTATTTTCAGCAAATTCCCTAAAACACAAAACTCATCCTCTGTGATTGGTTGTGGCTCAGCATGCTCCATTGTTCCATCACCCGTTTGTTCGCTTGGTTTCCTACGCACAAACACAACTTTCCTGCCTGCCCTGCGCAATATTGGGCTCCTCTGTGCTTTGACAACACGAAATATTGGAATCTCTGACTTTTTCTGAGGGAAGAAGATAAAGGTAGGCCATCAATATCAAAATATATTGTGTGAAATAGAGTTTATGTTCATGTTTCAAAAGATTAATTCTCTGTCTTATCTTTCTTTATCCTACAATTGTTAGTTAACCTTTTGAACTCTTCATTTATCTCACATGATTACCCATTTCAGGAGCTTTACATTGTGGGGCATGCACCCCTATTTTTATGAACTATTGAAATCCAAGATGCCATGATATTATAAATGCCTAACAGTCAGATTATAAAGAAAGTATTCTTTATGTGGTGGCCATCATTTTATTCAACTCACCTTCGTAGTTCAAACTGATATGTAAAGTATCTTTAGAAACTAGTGGAAATTATGTTTTTTTTTAAATTGGACCCACCTCTCAGCCTGGCGGTGTTGGAGGTTAATGAATTGTCAGGGTGAGTTGGCCGCCTGTCCACTGTGTAGATTCCCTCTCAGTGTCATTAAGTACTGTTACTATATTCAGATACCTCAAGATCCAGCACATTTTTCTGTATCACCCTACTGAATTTGTATTAGATATTGTTTTATACATTTTGAGTGTATCCCCATGCTCTGTAACAGGACATGCCTGCTCTAATTGGGATAGTCTGACCTGCTCTGCTGTTCTCTGTGTGTCAGTCAGTGTTTTTGGCAGGATGTACAGCTTCATGGGAGGTGGGTTGTTCTGTGCCGGAATCGGGAACATACTCCTCATCGTCTCCACGGCAACTGACTACTGGATGCAGTATCGTCACTCCAGCAATTACATGCACCAGGGTCTGTGGCGGTACTGTGTGCCCGGGAAATGCATGGCTCACACAGACAGCATTGGTAAGACTCGCTGCATGTGCAGGGGCACATCCTCATTTATATTTATTAGTTTGCTGACAACCAGTCTGTCAACTCTCAATTCTACACTTACCCTGATCCACGTGGAAACTACCTTTTTTTAGCCTTGTTGGGTTGTTGGCTAAAATATGGCGATTGTTAAGCCTAAAAATGCAAAGTAGTATATGTCATGTGAGATTGCTAGTTAAGTAAATTGTTTTTGTGACTTTTAAGAAATAGTTTGTACCTTGATATATTTAATATATGCAAGGGAAATAAATCATTTTCAGTCATCTGTCATAAACGTTATTGGATAAAAAGCTAGTTAAGAAAAACATTTAAATGAATGACTGAAAATGAAGCATTCCTTCACTATAAATGACATGGGTTATGTGAATAAAATATTAAAACAAATCTGAAATCCTCATTTAGCACAAGACAGACTTTGAAATCTGATGTGTCACTCATCTCTCACCCACAGCGTACTGGGACGCCACCCGTGCCTTCATGATTCTTTCCCTGCTGGCTTGTTTCATTGGCATTGTGATCGGCGTCATGGCCTTCATCCACTACTCCTCCTTTGATGGGTTTGACAAGACATTTGCAGCCGGCATTCTCTTCTTCATCTCCTGTAAGCTCCTCCACCAGAGCTACATCCACGCCTCTCTTTTGTAAGGAAGACCTTTGTCAGTTAAGCCTAATGATTGTATCTATTGTGCAGGCTTCTTTGTGTTGCTGGCCATGGCTGTCTACACAGGAGTGACGGTGAACTTCTATGGTAAACGCTATGGCAGCTGGCGGTTCTCCTGGTCCTATATAATGGGCTGGGTGGCAGTGGTGCTCACTTTCTTCTCAGGTATGCATCGTACCACATCAACTCAGATAAAACACATGTGTGCATCATGGATATATATGATGATGTCTAATTATCTGGTTATTCTCTTCTAGGTATCTTCTACATGTGTGCCTACCGGATGCACGAATGCCCAAGAAACTCTAACTCGCGCTAACCTGCCAATGACTTCCACACACAAAAGCACTGGTCTATAATGTATGGCCAAGAGGAACCAAAACTCACATGAACTCAACTTCTTCCTGAATAAGCAAAATAAAATTAGGGAAGAAAAAGGCATTTGTTGGATGTATTGTCTCTCTAAATTAATAAAACTTTAAGCAGAGGTACACAATGGTATACCAGCATTTGAGGTGATGCAGCTAAATGTATTTCAGCTAATGTTTAAAACCGAAGCAGTGACCATTTTAGTGTTAAACGTCTTCCAAAAGTGTGTAGTTAAATCATTCATATCACAGTCTTATTCAATCAAAAATGAGACTTCTTAATGTTCTCCTGAATTCACTGCATTTTCTCCCTTTAACTTTTAAACAATTTTCAACTGCAGTCAAAACATTCAGTTTCTAAATGCTGCCACAGCAAAGTGATGACTCTTCAAAAGTGAAGCCAGAACATCTCGATCGCCCCCTGCTGGCTGGCTGTTAGTTTGGGAATCACTTGATATATTCATTTGAGTTTTCTATGAGCAGGTGAATTCATTTGACAATATCGCTCTTAATGTTCATTGTATTGTGGGAAGTTAAAATCATGATCAGAATATTTATATATTTGATCAACTGCAGCCCTGGATTGTATGATGTAGAGTTCAGGTATAAACTACTTTAAAATGACTTGTACCTGAACTCCACATCATACAATTCACTTAATGAATAGCTTTATATATAATAATATAATTTCTGAAAAATATTGTGTTAAGCATATATATACTATGACACACAAAATCAGTCACGGTATCTTATTAATTTATTTTATGAATGAGATGCACTATTACTTCAAGTTCAAAAAAGTATTTTATTTAGTCTTATTTTGCAATGCACTGAAACCGTACAACAAACTCCATTAAAAAAAGAAAAACCTGCGGCGATACAAATAACTGGTTTAACTGGATGAAGAGCTCTGCTATAAAAGAACCTAGAACAAACAGTAGAAGTGTTTACTTAAGCCAAAGAGGAACAAAACAAACCCAAAGTTGCCTGGTACATTTTTCTGAATATAACAATTTTGTGAAGCTCTACTTTAGTCGACCTCCTCAATGGTGGGGCCGGATGATGCCCCCCCTCCCGGAGCACCACCAGCGCCGGGGAAGCCACCTGGCATCCCCCCTGGCATCCCCCCTGGCATCCCTCCGGGCACACCCCCCGCATTCTGGTACAGCTTGGTCATGATGGGGTTGCACAGCTTCTCCAGCTCCTTCTGCTGATGCTCAAACTCTTCTTTTTCTGCAGTCTGAGAAAGGGAAAGGAAGTTAATAATCTGATGCTAACACATTTTCTTTAGCACCTATGCTGCCAAAGCTGACCACCAAACATGTTGTTTCATACCTGGTTTCTATCCAGCCAGCTGATGACCTCGTTACACTTGTCCACAATCTTCTTTTTGTCCTCGTCGCTGATCTTGTCCTTCAGCTTCTCGTCCTCCACAGTGGACTTCATATTGAAGGAGTAAGACTCCAGACCATTCTTAGCAATCACCTTCTCTCTCTGCACGTCGTCCTCAGCCCTGTAACTCTCTGCTTCCTGGACCATACGCTCAATGTCGTCCTTGCTCAAGCGACCTGATAATATTTTTTGTAAATTTAAACAACATGTAATATCGTATCAAATTTCACAATGGAGATACAGCGTCAACATTCTTCTTCAGGTTACCTTTGTCGTTGGTGATGGTGATCTTGTTTTCCTTCCCGGTGCTCTTGTCAGCCGCGGACACATTCATGATGCCGTTGGCGTCGATATCGAAGGTCACCTCAATCTGAGGAACCCCTCGTGGTGCAGGGGGGATTCCAATCAGCTCAAATTTCCCCAAGAGGTTGTTGTCTTTGGTCATGGCCCTTTCCCCTTCAAACACCTGTTAATGCAATGGTTTAAAACATCAATTATGATTTCTTTGAAATGTAATTCATTCTCTTATATAATGACCTTCTCTTTTTGTCTAATTACTGTGGTCACACCTGAATGAGCACACCAGGCTGGTTGTCTGAATAGGTGGTAAAAGTCTGGGTCTGCTTGGTGGGGATAGTGGTGTTCCTTTTGATGAGAACAGTCATGACCCCTCCAGCAGTCTCGATGCCCAGAGACAGGGGGGTCACATCCAGCAGCAGCAGGTCCTGCACATTCTCCGATTTGTCCCCTGACAGGATGGCTGCCTGCACAGCTGCAATAGAAAATAATGGATTTAGATTTTTACATTTGCACCTAATTTCTTGTTGAATCTCTTTGTTTACAATTTGATTTATGGACATGAAGGGGTCATACCTGCACCATAAGCCACTGCTTCGTCAGGGTTGATACTCTTATTGAGTTCCTTGCCGTTGAAAAGATCCTGCAGCAGCTTTTGGATCTTGGGAATGCGAGTGGAACCTCCCACCAGGACAATGTCGTGGACTTGAGCTTTGTCCATCTTGGCGTCACGGAGAGCCTTTTCCACAGGCTCAAGGGTTCCTCGGAACAGGTCTGCGTTCAGCTCCTCAAACCGGGCCCGGGTGATCGAGGTGTAGAAATCAACTCCCTCGTACAGAGAATCGATTTCAATGCTGGCCTGAGTGCTGGAGGACAGAGTGCGCTTGGCCCTCTCACACGCAGTGCGCAGACGACGCACCGCCCTCTTGTTGTCGCTGATGTCTTTCTTGTACTTGCGTTTGAACTCAGCGATGAAGTGGTTGACCATGCGGTTATCAAAGTCTTCCCCACCCAAATGGGTGTCACCTGCTGTGGACTTCACCTCAAAGATGCCATCTTCAATAGTCAAGATGGAGACGTCAAATGTGCCACCACCCAGGTCAAAGATGAGGACGTTTCTCTCGGCTCCGACCTGTAGTTTGACATTATTTTATTGTAATTAGCAGTTTCTTTTTGGAATTGGATACATATTTCAAAACCTTGTAATCAAAGTGTATATTACTTTGACATATTTCAATTATTGATGTGAACTCTACAATTTACTTAAAAAAGCCATATTTAGTGCTGTCTATCACATGAAATGTCTGGATTTACATAAGCTTAGCCTTATGATTATTTCACCTTTTTGTCCAGGCCATAAGCAATAGCGGCAGCAGTCGGCTCGTTGATGATACGCAGGACATTAAGCCCGGAAATGGTCCCTGCATCTTTGGTGGCCTGGCGCTGAGAGTCATTGAAGTAGGCAGGCACAGTTACTACTGCATTTGTTACAGTCTGCAAGAAGGAGAAGTTAGAGTAATTATTAAGACAAGTAAATTACATTCTCAGCATTAAAAGTAGATTTAATATCATGTTAACTTTGATTAGAGGTTGCAGATCCCTTGTATAGTTTTTCTTGTTGTAATCAAATTGTACCTTCCCGAGGTACGCTTCTGCAATCTCCTTCATTTTAATGAGCACCATGGAGGAGATCTCTTCTGGGTAGAAGCTTTTGGTCTCGCCCTTGTAATCCACCTGTAATTTGGGGCGTGTAGCATCATCAATGACAGTAAAAGGCCAATGTTTCATGTCTGACTGGACCACGTCGTCATCAAATCGACGTCCAATAAGACGCTTTGCATCTGTTGAACAATTTAAGAAAAATGCAACAAATTAGAGAAAACTGAAAATTGAACGTATCATAATAACTTAAAGAAAATGTTTCATACCGAACACTGTGTTGGTTGGGTTCAGGGCCACCTGATTCTTGGCTGCATCCCCAATCAGCCTCTCAGTGTCAGTGAAGGCAACATAACTGGGTGTGGTCCTGTTTCCCTGGTCATTGGCAATGATCTCTACTTTGCCATGCTGAAACACTCCCACGCAGGAGTAGGTAGTGCCCAGATCAATGCCGACTGCTGGTCCCTTGGACATGGTTCCTGAAAGGTATTAGCTACAAATCAGATATTGGCACAAAACTGCAAATCTGTGTATATGACAAATGGTGTTGCTGCGGCTTGCCATCATGATGAACCTTTGTATGGTGTAATGAGGCTATTTTTAGAGGGTGAGCAGCTCAAACAGAAGTGGAAACACTCTTTCAGAGAGGCAAATGCCCACAACACCTGTTTTTTTAAGCCTACTACATTTGACAGCCTGACAACAGCTTATTCTGTTATGGCAACAACAGACAACAGACAGGACAGGGGTCCACGTCTGTGGAATCAGCTTCCAGAGAACATACGGACCTCGGCATCACCCTCAGTTTTTAGAAAATACCTCAAGACCCACCTGTTCCACACCGCATTTTACTGACTGTCCTTTACTTTATTTATTTATTTTTAAACCTTTTATGCTCTTAACCTTTTATTTTTTATATTGCCATATTTGATCCAATATGCTCCTTTAGATATATTTTTACTTATTTTTCCTTATAGCTTTGTGAAGCACCTTGAGATGACGTTGTCTTTAAAGTGTGCTATATAAATCAAATGTATTATTATTATTATTAGTTCATCCTTAGGCTAAAATGTTACTCGTTCAAGAGACATTATGCACCCACTATTTTGATCATCAATTCAATGTTCATGTCAAGAAAATAATGCAAAACTTTGCCTATGCAGGAGAGCCAACATGAGTGAAGAATTTGTTATAATAGATTAGCTGTTCATAAAATAAATATGCTATACTGTACATCAGTTACAGGGTTTGGTACTTTATCGATCTATTGTTTAAATATTCTGATTTTATTTGGGTCATTGCAGTACCGAAAATATAGCAAGAGAGTCTTCTACAGTAAGCAAAATCTTGCATATTTTATTTGCAAAACTAAACTAATGACTAAAATGCAAGCTTATGTTCAAGGTAAGGCAATTGTGACATGACTCCTGTTGCAACTACAGTAGTTTAGTTTCCCCAAATATTGTTAATGGTACATTTCATATTTGGGTAAGTGGGTTATGAAAGAAAGATTGTGACATAACCAGAGCAAGTGCGGGGTAAGAGTAGGATATACTGTAGGCATACTCATAGACTATAAAATCGGCTGTGCTGCACCCATGGATGTATAATAAGAACTGGATACCGCGTGGGAGGCGGAGTCTCGTTCTTTCCTATGAGAGCTGCTCATTGGCGCATGAGGACAAAATGGCCCAACTTTTGAGAGAGCGAAACGTCACAGATGACCCGGCCGTCATGCCTGGATTTCAGAGCAGAAGTACCCGTATGTGCGCTCACAGAGCATGCGCCCCTTAAGCCCCGCCCCCCGAGCTCCCACTCTCACATGCGCGTTCATAATGCAAGGAAAATAACTCTCAGAATAACGTTATTAGCACATTTTACAACTTGAGGACCGAATGTTTTTAATAACGGCTATACAAATTTTAAATTTAAAAAAAAATTATCCAACGATTTACAAACCACGTGTAAGTCAATGGGAAAAAGTGTTTCCGGGCCCAGCAACCCATACGGAAGTGTAGTACCGCCGTTTGGCCACAACGAATATTTTCCTCAGAGTCCGGCGCACTTCCTGGGGGCTTGGGCTGCACCATTAGCTTAGCTATCAACAGCAGTACTGTAGGGCGTGACACTCCACATTTCGCTTCCTCATAACTTACAAACAAGTCCAGACATTACCCGTTCTGCAAGTGACGTGCATTTCTTCATCGCATATTAACAACTTTCCTAACCAAATTGCAAAAGAGTGTGTTAGCTACATGGAAATACCTGTTGTCAGCCATATTTTGCATGTCCATGTGATAATACCATGCACAACAAAAGTTGGCGCAACCATCAGTCGTAGTCGATTTTTTTATGTAACGTCTCTGTCCAGAAAAGTTACAGTATATTATTACTCACCTCCGTTAAATTCAGTCCGCCGTTTTATTGGGTTATTTTTCGAAGCTTCGCCCTGAGAGAGTCGGTGTGTCGGTGTGTTTCTCCGTTTCTCCCCTCTGTGAATGAGTGTGAGAGGCCGCGCCTCCTCACTGCACTCCCTCTAAGAACTCTCTAGAACACGGGAGGAGCGATGCTGGCCAATCATCCTGCATCAAATCACTGCGTCTGAAATTGGTCCAAATATTGTTTGCACATTTCGACAGTTTAGTTATCGAGATTGTAGACTATGATACATGTTAGTGCCTTCTAGAGTAGACTATCTGGCTGAGAACAGTAGCCTACTGGAAGAATATGATCCTTTACTCGATTAAAATGTAAGCAATAACACGGAAGAAAAACTCAGTTACAAAGAATAGTCATGCCTTGAAAGTCTTACTAAAGGAATAGTATGTCGTGTATTAGATTCAAATTAACCTACTTAAATCACTTTAAGTAAATGCAGGCAATATTGTTAGCAGGGCCGTATCCACCATAATTTTTTCCGAGCTGTGTATATAACTAAACGTGAAATAACTGCACTAAAAGGGATTCTTTGTAGTACTTCCATTTACTGACGATGGGGGCGCTGCATAACTACGTAGCCTCGATGAAAGCAAACAGAAGAAGACGACATAATCAACAAACCACCGCAGCCCGGACTTGTATCGGAACAGCGGAGAAGTGATGAGGTATCGAGAGATCTGAGTCCAGTGGGCTGCTTGTGTTTCTGTTCATCAGGACATCATATGACCAGCAGATCCTGTGTGAACGCACTACGTTAGTCAGTGGACGTCCGACAACATGCACACTAACTTATATTGCAGCTAGGCTATACTTTGGTTTAAATTGCGTGAATAAACTAGCTAGAGAGCTAAAGTTAATTACATTCATCCAATGTCAGAAGGATTACCTTTTAACAAACGTTGTAATGCTTTTCTTTCATTTCAATTTGAGTAAAACATTGAAGATATAACATTGTATTGTTTTCTTTTTACACTGACTCAGATATAATGAAAATACTACGTCAGTCGAAGCTCAGCGTTGGTAAGGAAGAGACAGGACAGGCAGAGAGAAAGTGATGGAAATCAGGGAGGAACTGCAGGTACAGTCACACAAAAGAATGTAGGCTTAATAACCCCATCTATCTATCTATCTATCTATCTATCTATCTATCTATCTATCTATAACTTAGTCTTCATTTACAATATAGACAATAGGCATACTTTTTAAACAACATACATCTATTGCAGTTATGATGTCATAATAACATACAATTGCATAAAACACAATTTGCTTACATCTTTGTTCTCTTTTGAGAATCAAACAAAACAGTTTAAAAAAAAAATGCAAACAAACAAGTGAAATGAACTAAATTGCTGAATTGCTTTTAATTCACTAGCAGGAGCGACAAGTGAGGAGGAGCAAAAAGTGAACAACGAGGGAGAGATTGAACAAAGAGAAAGAGTAGAGGGCAGAGAGAGTAATGAACAGGAAGAAGACAGAGAGACTAAAGAAGATGGAAGAGAGGGTGCAGGTTATGGAAAGGAGAGAGACATGGAAAATGAATGTTGACAATGTTTTGTGATCATTTTAGCCTCTTCTGCATGTCCAGGGGCCTCATTTATAACGCCTTGCGTAGGATTGATGTGGGAATGTTGCTTACGTAGTACAAAGCAAAAAAATAGGTACAAAAATGTTCCGACATTTTCCGATTCACAAAACATTGCGTACCGGCGAGGGAAGTCCATACTGCACTTCCTACGCCTGTTTCCCTTTATAAATCACAATCGACTCGTAACGCCCATATTTGCCTATAAATAGTCAAAGAAACGCCCATTCATTCATTCATTTTGACTGACTGCATGAAGAAGATCACAGGAAATAACGACAGAACAGCTAAAAAAGACATCTCACACCGTGTCAGATTTTGGTTATTTTGGGGAGGTCGAGATAAATCCTATTGTTTGGTGGATGCAGTTTGAACCAGAGTAGCAGCATGGAGGTCGGATCGTCACCAAAATAAATAAATAAGTGGTCCGAAAAAAGTGAATGACAAAAAAAATACACATAACCTTCCTCAGGCAGTGTGTTTGTACCGGGGACAGGAGACACTCTAAGAAATGATCGGGGAATCCCTCCGGAGTGGAGTCATGACGACTGGATCTGAATTATTTTGTTGTATTTGGTAGTTTGTGTTCCAGCTGTCGATCAGCAACTATATATCCATAATCCACCAATTAAAGGAAATACAACTAATGTGTTGTGTTATATTAGCTGTACAATTTACCACATATGGTGTTCTTAGTTTCCATACCTCCTGTGTTTTACGAGCGACTTATCAAGTCTTGGCAAACGGCATAAAACACGATTAAACATGATAGTATATAAAACCATGCTCGTATCTACAACCTATAGAAATGCAAAACGGCGTCAGTTTAGACGTAATTCTGTCCTCCTGCTTACCGCATCATTTATGAGAAAACATTTCATAACATTAACACAACATATTCGAGGTGGTTTTAAATAACATCCGTATTTATTTATTTCTCCAAGTTATGTTTTTGTGTGCACTAAGGAGTCTCAAACAGGCGTTTGTTTAATCATTTTAAGATTGGCTTTAATCAATGTTTGAAAATGAATTCTTCATATTTGATAAATGAGAGGTAACATTTTATTTATGGTATTATTTCCACATATTTCTCTCCATTCTTCCTTCTGCCAACGGTGTCGCAGTTTCTCGTCTCTCCCGTTTGTGTGCTTAGTGCGTACGCATGGGTTAGAGTTTGCGTGGAGGACAGCACATTTTCCCGTCAAGTTAGAATTTGATAAATCGCAAACATTGCGTAGAAACTGGCGTACGCCATTTTTTGAGCGTATATCCCTTTATAAATGAGGCCCCAGATCATTAATAGTAACAATTAACTGATTCAAAATAATTTATGCTGCAGCCCACTGACATGGTTTGAAATCGATATATTATCCAATTTGTGACCCCCCACAGGACTTAAAAAGCACCTAACTAGATCATGAAAATCCCAGAAATCTCGGGGGGGTATACCCCCGAACCCCCATAGCATGTTTGGACCTCGGTATTTAGGAAATCCTGGATACGGCCCTGATTGTTAGTACACCTATACCTGTATATTCTTCATAATATAACATATTAATATGCAAACAGGCTACAGTAGGCTAGGCCTCGTGCAATTTATAAGTAGGCTGTAGTAACGTACTTGATTAAGATTTTGAGGTACTTCACTTAATCTGGCAGCTAGAAGTTAGTCCTACTTTGCAGAATATTTTCATATGACACATTTGATGATGTTATAACGTTTTATTATCTCACAGAACCCAACTGCTTCTCATTTAGTTACGATCAGTATCACCAGCAGCAACCACAGGATTAAATTGCTGCTGAAATACTAATCAGTAAAAGTAATCATAAATAACTTCATATACAAAGTGGTCTGACAGGGGTTGTTCTTCTGTATTATGAGAAATCCTTCTAAATAATTAAGTACTCAAGCTTTTGAATGCATTAGGTGTTATGGATCAAAGCATCCACCATTGAAATGGAGAGTTGAAGAACGGAAACGCTCAACCGCACCTTTAAGTGCCAGGTTACATCTCATAAAGTCCCTTAGAAACATCCAGGACACTGAAATGAAGTCTAATACCACTACATCTGCAGTGCAACACCAAGTATTCATGTGAGATTAGATACTGAGATGAGGGTGGATCCCCTATAAATACCTGGAAATGGGTCGCAGATTATGAAACCCAGGGATTGGTTTTGCATTAATAGTACAGTACATAAAGAGTTGTCAGGGTGTGACTTTAAATAAAAAGGGCTCCTCCTATGTTAACGTCATAACAAGTTATGATACTGCTCAGGTTTTGCGTGTGTTTAATGGTGTGACTCAGTGTACAGCATGTACACAAAAGCTGCTGTTGAAAGTTAACCTATTGTAAGGTTAAACAAACAATACAATACTTTCTGGGTAATTTTGACCCTGTTTGCAATTTAAAAAAAGGAAAGGAAGGAAAAGATATGTTATGATAAGATAGATTTACATATATTATACAAATGATACATGGTGGTACAAATGAAACAAAAAGCTTGCCACGGGATTATTTGAAGCTTTCTAAATTTCCAAAGTCAGGGAGCTCAGACAAACAGTATTTTATATCAGTGTTTTGTCCTGTTACTAAAGACTAATGTTTATAGTTTGAACTCTAAAACCGTTATAGACAGTTTGATAGACTGCATGCACCAAGATCCCCTTTTTTACTTGGATTATCCAGGAAAAGCAGTAAGTGAAGACACAATCAGGGTTCGGTGAAAAAAACCTTACACGTACAATTATGTGATTCATTTTTTATAAAGACATATTGATTATAGGCCTTTAAGACTTTACAAACAGCCATTTGAGTTTCAGAGATCCATGCAACAGCTGTCTTTTTCTTAATTGTCCTCTGACATATTTTTCTATGTGGCCTTTTTTTCTACGGTGGCCCTGAAGTGCAAGACACCACAGCATTTTACAAAACACTACAGCATTTCAGAAAACACAACAGCATTTCAGAAAACACCACAGCATTTCAGAAAACACCACAGCATTTCAGAAAACACCACAGCATTTCAGAAAACACCACCACATTTCACATTGGACGGAAAGGGTATTCCTTTAGGGAGAACACTTCTTGTTTGTGATTGGACAGAGCCAGCCAGAGAAGCACTGCTGTGATTGGTTGTTTTTGCTGCCAGTCAAGAAATGACGCTTCGTGATTGGTCAGCACCCGACAGCGCAACATGTCCCAACACATCGGCCGTTAGCTGTTAGCACACACTCAGAGCTCACAGCTCCTCATATCTGTTCAGAAACTGGACAAAAGTTAAACAAGTACAAACCACAGACTATCTATGTCATGGTGAATACAGTCGCTGCTTTATTTATGTCTGTATGACGTTGTTGTGAGTGTGGACGGAGCAGCTACAGGTTAGTTTAGCCTGATCGACCCGATCTCCATTAAAAAAACACGCATTTTAAAAGTTTTTTTGCCTGCCTTCTTGTCTGCACACTTGTCAAAGCATTAATTATTATTATAAATATGATCTCCATGTAAATACTATGGTAGACTACCCAATATTCGCATCGCTCTAATCTCTCGAGTTTCACCGCGGCTGTCAGCTGTGTTTACGGCCCGTCCACGCGGCGACATGCGTTGAATTTTCAACGCTTCTGCCCATTCACTTTGAATGGGGTGACGTCACGCTTTGCCGAACTGCATTGTGGTTCCGTCGCTTCGCTTTGTTCGCGTTGCTCGAGCTTCGACGGAAGCGTCAGCCAATCCGGTCCGGCAGTGGCTCAGTCAGTAGGGGCCGTGTGGACGCTGCGTTACTCCTGTCATTCAAACAAGACGCGCTGGAGAGGGGGCGGGTGTATCTCCATGTAAATCCTATGGGAGATACCAACTACAACAAAATGAACATATTTGACCGTGATTTAATTGTAATACACGTTTCAAAATGATGCCGAAGTAACAACATACTGATACCGGTTAGTAAAAACCATGAATTAATGCTTTGACAAGTGTGCAGACAAGACGGCAGGCGAAAAATCTTTTGAAATGCGTGTTTTCTGAATGGAGATCGGATCGATCAGGCTAAACTAACCTGTAGCTGCTCCGTCCACACTCACAACAGCGTCATACAGACATAAATAAAGCAGCGACTATATTCGCCATGACATAGACAGTCTGTGGTTTGTACATGTTTAACTTTTGTCCAGCTTCTGAACAGATATGAGGGGCTGTGAGCTCTGAGTGTGTGCTAACAGCTAACGGCTGATGTTTCGGGACATGTTGCGCTGTCGGGTGCTGACCAATCACGAAGCGTCATTTCTAGACTGGCAGCAAAAACAACCAAGATAGCAGTGCTTCTCTGGCTGGCTCTGTCCAATCACAAACAAGAAGTGCTCTCTTCTCCCTAAAGGAATACCCTTTCCGTCCAATGTGAAATGTGGTGGTGTTTTCTGAAATGCTGTGGTGTTTTGTGAAATGCTGTGGTGTTTTGTGAAATGCTGTGGTGTTTTGTGAAATGCTGTAGTGCTTTTTTAAATGCTGTAGTGTTTCCTGAAATGCTGTGGTGTTTTCTGAAATACTGTAGTGTTTTCTGAAATGCTGTTATGTTTTCTGAAATGCTGTAGTGTTTTCTGAAATGCTGTAGTGTTTTCTGAAATACTGTAGTGTTTTCTGAAATGCTGTAGTGTTTTCTGAAATACTGTAGTGTTTTCTGAAATACTGTAGTGTTTTCTGAAATGCTGTAGTGTTTTCTGAAATGCTGTTATGTTTTCTGAAATGCTGTAGTGTTTTCTGAAATGCTGTGGCATTTTCTGAAATGCTGTAGCGTTTTGTGAAAGGCTGTAGTGTTTTTTAAAATGCTGTAGTGTTTTCTGAAATGCTGTAGTGTTTTCTGAAATGCTGTAGTGTTTTTTTTAGGGCTGTCAGTCGATTAAAATGATTGTCCATAGTTAATCGCGATTAATCGCGAATTAATCGCAAATTTGTTATCTTTTCTAAATGTACCTTAGGGATATTTTTCAAGTTTTTAATACTCTTATCAACATATGAGTGGACAAATATGCTTTATATGTTTGTTTATTATCATTTGAACAATGACAAATATTCTCATGAATATTAAACACAACAACCTCTGAACATTACAATATTCGCCTCAATTCAACCTGGAACCTCTCTCATACAATAATACAATACAAAGTGTGTGTGTGTGTGTGTGTGTGTGTGTGTGTGTGTGTGTGTGTGTGTGTGTGTGTGTGTGTGTGTGTGTGTGTGTGTGTGTGTGTGTGTGTGTGTGTGTGTGTGTGTGTGTGTGTGTGTGTGTGTGTGTGTGTGTGTGTGTGTGTGTGTGTGTGTGCGCGTTAACTTGACAGCCCTAGTTTTTTTTAAATGCTGTAGTGTTTTCTAAAATGCTGTAGTGTTTTCTAAAATGCTGTAGTGTTTTCTAAAATGCTGTAGTGTTTTCTCAAATGCTGTTGTGTTTCCTGAAATGCTGTAGCGTTTTCTGAAATGCTGTGGTGTCTTGCACTTCAGGGCCACCGTACTTGTCAGCTGTTTACAGTGGATACTGAATTTCTGAGGCCAATATTATTTTCAGTATGGCTATAAGAGAGTTGGAAACATTTGATATTCAACACAAAGACATGGCATAAGCAAGCAAGTATGTTTGATAAGAATTTCTTAAAGATTCAGATTTGTAAACACAACATTGATATACTGTATATCTGTTAAGTTAGTATTGCATACATGTGGGCAAACAGTTGCTTATTGATACATCCTGCGTTTAGTAACTCCTGTTGGAAAACTCTGCCTTTTAAGCTCCTAAATTCTCCACTATGTTCTCCAGCCAGTCAATAACTCTGTCTGTTGCAAGTATTGTACACTTTTAAAAACAAACTCAGTCAAGAGTCATCATTTGGACTCTTTAAAGAACTACATTTGTGAGACCTTTACATTCAAACAAACCTTGAGTGCACTTTATCCGCTTCCTTTTTTTACGAAACATTTTGGTTTTTGAAAATTACTCCGACCTATATTCCCCACAGCCTTGTACCAGGTTAATTTCTTTATTCCCCAAGTGTGACCACAATTGATGCTTATGGGCCCAAGTTTGAAAGAAATGTGCCCCCAGTCACACTGATGGCATGTCTTGCAGACAAAGACGTATTTGGACAACAAAGGGGAGATTAAAACTGGCATTTGACATTGGATACGTGTAAAGTAATATAACAAGCACCTTTTTCAGGCTGTATCGTCATGGTGTATTGTGGTGCTGTTCTTTGGGGACCCGAGTTACTCAGGAGTCTCTTTGGTGTTGTGATGCACAAAAGACTTTGGATTTCTCTCAGATAGGTGTGTCTTTTATTGGCTGACTGTACAAAACAGCACTGAAGTTTTCTATATACAGTTTACAGCCTGAGGCCATAACAAAAACTGATCCATTACAAAGATTATACGGTAGAACAATAATGAGACTTGTATCACATCATAAGATCTCTGAAGAGAACACCTTGTTATGATCACTGACCCTGCTCTTTCATAAACCTACGAAAAATAAAACACTGCTGTTATGTATATGTTATGGTTTCTTAAGGTTTATGCAAAGCTCTCCCTGCCCATACCCAACACAGCAACAAAAGGTTTTTCTATCGTACAGCATATTTATCTACCTAGAATTAACATCAAGTTGCATCTTATGCCAGACCAGATGAGATGATTGCCATTGCATTACTGGGTATATAAAGCTCATTCTGTTAATGTGGCATTAAGGGGAAACAATTCAGAATCAATCTGGCGCCCTGCTGTTAAACACAAAACACATGATTAAAAGCAAACTATTGATAAAACAATGTTGTCTTGTAACTTATCAGAGAACTCCTTCACATCTCAAAGAAAAGCACACAATTCTCAAATGTCTCTATTGGTCTATCTGAGCTCTCTGAGGATGGGACAAGCTTAATTACATTTTCGCTGTGAGATTCATATCGTCACATTAATAATTCCAACCAAACTGCTGATTAATAAATCCTCATAACAAAACAGTATTCTAAAACACCAGTAAACTGTGACAGAGAGCTGGATGTGGGATTAAAAGTGGCTTAAAAGCTGCATGTTACAATCAATAGAAGGTGAATCTTCAACTCTCTTAATTTTAGATTTATTGTTATTCAAATTCAAAATGATGTTAAAAGCTCCACTCATGTTACACTATTGTGTGAGATGTTCCCGCACACGCCCCTGTGGAGGCGACAGTATAAATGCAGAGCTCTGGTAGCTGATATCAAGACAGAAAATGAAGACTTACTGGTGAGTCCCTGCGATAACATTATAACATATATTTCTGCTGGTGTCATACTGTAGGTTTTATGGCTTTATAATGCTTTGCATCAAATAGACCTCTTTCATTAATATATTATGTACATTTTTTTAATAATTTGTCTATCAACAACACAGAAAAATCTGCAATTATTCTTTCATGCATTCATTTAGGTTGTTAAATCAAACCTGACATATGCAATTTAATCTGAGAGGTCACCATGTGATCAATAATGGAAGTTTATTTCTAATTTGAATAAAATGCAAAATGCATGATAGTATGTTGTGTCGAGATATAGTGGTTTTAAATGTAACCGAATTGAAGGATACTAGTTATTTTATGTCCAGCTACTTTTTTCTAAAACACTACATAAATCCTGATAGCGCTGGTTGAATGATTCATTTTTCTTCTTTAGAGTGATTGTATGTTGCCTAATGGCCTGAAGTAATTATATTACCTTTGTAGGGATTTCCCTAGTGTACACTAAGGTTGAAAGAAGATGGTGAATTCCTCAGTTCCCATTGTTTTGCTGTTTTCTTACAGGTCCACATTCAGAACAATGAGGCTGGTCATCCTTGTGTGCCAGCTTAGCCTCTTTATGAGGACTGAGGCCCAGACACCAGATGCTTGCGCTCTAAGCGAAACAAACAGAGCTCCAGGTTTGTGGCGTTTATTACACATAGTCTTAAATGACTGATATTCAAATTTCTCCATTGCAGTTTGATTTATATCCACCTTCTTTTTTTTTTAAATCCCTCAGAAAACTCGGACATCACTGTGGACTGCGGCACTCAGTTTATGGACCTGAGCATCTACATTTGTCCAGTGTACCAAGCACTTTACAATGAGTCTCTGATGGTCCTCAATAATCAGATAAACACACCTGAGTGTTATGGGACTGCCGACTGGACCACGACCCCACCAGTCTTAAAATTCAGATTCCCAATGAATGAAAGTTCTGTTTCATCCTGCAACAATGACTTTAAGGTATTCTTTACTATACCTTTAAAAAAATAATTAGGGCCATATGGTAAAAGTTTTCATTTTGTATATAAAACTCAAGGATTATTTAGTCACTCAAAGAATGAATCAGACACTGATTTCTGTGAAATAAATGCTGTTTTATTTCTACAGATATCCGATCAGGTTGGAACTGGAGACTTTGCTGACTTCTCCAAAGTCCAGTATGTCAACATCTCCGGCACTATAAACTCAGTAGACCCCTCTTCAGGTATGATCACTTATCTCCCGCAGATCTTATACAAGTTCTCCTGCTTCTACCCGATGCAGTATCTCGTGAACAACACCCAACTGAGCGTGTGAGTATGTCATGAATAGCACTGAACACGGCATGGGAAATAGGCACTGAGTGAAATGTTTATTAATTTAAGTTTATTTTCATTCGATACAGATCAGGTTCGAGTCTTGCCATAAGAGACAACAATGGTAGTTTCATCAGCACACTGAGTATTCTGCTCTTCAAAGTAAGTTCTACTCTATCTTTAGGAATTGGACAGAGAATATGTTTCAAAATGTTATGATGTTATGCATTTTGTATTCATTTTTCTGTGGAACAGGATGAACTGTACCAAGAAAGGTTGATTATACCAGAAACAGGACTAAATCTGAAGACCAAGATTTATGTTGCAGTTAAAGCAAACAATCTAACAGACAGGTATTTATGATGTTGCAGTTAACAGCAAACGTCATGTTACATCAAGAAAAGATACTTAAAAAACACCTGTCTGTCCTCACAGGTTCAACGTGATGCTAGACAGATGCTACGTAACAACAAATCCAGATCCCATTCAGTTAACCTATTATGACCTTTTTGTTGGGTGAGTCTCAATACAAGTTTACAAGTTACCACAGTATGAAACCTCCTCCTTTTACACTCCAATCCAATCCAGCTATGGTACTTCCCGACTTGCAGTCACATTGCCAGATTTTTTCATTCAAGGTGTACCCGTGACGCACAAACTAAGGTGGATCTTAATGGAGAGAAGCAGGAGGCACACTTCTCCTTTGAGGCCTTCAGATTTGTGCAGCACAAAAACAAGACAGTTTCCACCTTCTTCCTGCACTGTGTCACCAGGCTCTGTGAGCCGTTGACGTGTAGCAGATTGTTCCCTGTGAGTAGACACCAGATTTCCTTTAAAAGGACCTTCTTTAAAGATATCACAAATAGTTACTTACAATAGTTCATTTATACACCGTAGTTTTGATTATCTTTATTAATGTTGAACAGGACTGTACATCAGCTCGGAGAAAGAGAGCGGTCGTGGATGTGTTGCCCAATGCTACCGTCACCTCGCCTGCCATTCTGGTGGGAAGACAAACCAGTGGTGAGTCTTTTGGGCACATTTGAACTGATATATCCCCTCATCTGATAACAATAACAATTTCCTTTGTGAAAAAAAGATATAAATGGTTAGGTATAGTACCATAACATGTGCAAATTGTACTGGGTAAACTTTTTTAAACAAAGAGTGTCCTCTGAATGTATCAATAGAAAAACATAGTTTGTTGGTGCCTAAAACCACACATAGAAGCACTTTCTGAACATCCACTATTAGCAGGTAAACACATTATCTTTATGCTTTCAAATAACGTGAAAAAAACAAAAACAGGTTTCATTAATTTCATTATGATCAAGATTTTGTAAAGTTAGGGCACAAAAACAACTTGTGCACGAAATATTATGATTTTATTTGCAAATAACTTGTTATGCTAACAGGCAACTGGCACTAGCTTCATATTTAGGATGCATACATCGTAGTGGTTTCAGTTCCACCAGGTCACAAGAAAACATATAATCACATTTCCATAAAAATCATATTAATTTCATCAACTTATTTTTTCAAGTGAACCCTGTCAATTATTAATTGAGTTTGGTTTCATTTTCAGGAAAAGCTCAAACTTTCTCAGCTTCTTACGGTAAGAATCGTGTTTATTGATGTTACTTTCTCAGTCAGTAATTAGCAACATGAACTAATATTACCATGAGGTGTAGTACTGTGTGATGCAATCATGCCTTATTTCTTCCCCGCTCACATAGGTACACCAGTTGAGAGCAACTACAGCAGCCCTGTGGTGGCTATTATTGTCTGCATTGTCGTCCTGACTATTCTCATCATTGCCATGGCTGTTTACTTTGCATTGCACAGCAGACAGAGAAAACCAATCATCCAGTAACAAACCCTGACAGCTGAGTCCTTCCCCAATCTGAGTGCCAGCTTAGTACGTCATGATCTACAAAGCAATGTTATACATAGATATTAATTGAGACGTTAGTCAGAAATGTCATACTGTCATATTACCATTTCACACACATTATAACATCAGTAGTAATCTAGGCTTGCTTGATAATCATAATTAGTCACATCGTTTATTAATATGGGGATGGAGAATCTTTACTATGATTATATGTTAGTTTAATCATGTTGTCACAGTCATATTGAAGTATTTAAAGAATGGTGGTTAATTAAGATTTTTATTATCATTTAGAAATGTTGTACTTTTGAATTGTTCTCAATGAGATAGATAAACAATTCTGCTTAGTCAAACATTAAAATGTTCACTGTCTCACTGTATGGCTGAAAAGACTGAATAAAGAAAATTGCAGATACAAGTCGGGTTGCCTATGAACAAATATAAATAATAGTTTTTACTGTCCTCACATGCAGGCTTTGAATAACATTAAATAATCACTCTGATATACTGCACTGTATAGACCGCAGTGTGTGCCAAAATTAGTCTCAATAGCTCACTTGATTAATAACATATGTTTGGTAATATGCAACACTAAAATGCAAATTAAGCTAAAATGATAAAAGCCCTGGTTTATACATTTTTACCTAGACTGTATATATAACGATTTTAACCAAATCTTACAGCCCATTTCATAGTGAAGCATTGCTTTATAATCTATATTAAAATGTTTAAGCCTTTATTATTTCAGTTACTATTAGTAAATATTAGTAACTTTACATGGTGCATGTCTTTTAATATGCAATAACTGATCTTTTTGGAGCAGTGGAAAATAGTTATGAACATCGATATATCATCACCTTTTGAGTTGATATGGTTGACGTCTTAGCAAACAGTTACTTATTTACACGTACGACAGTGTGGAAGTGACATCATTATTCATAGCGAGTTGGGTTTCTGGCCAGCATATGTGTTATCTGTGGCATTGAGTATATGGACCTGAGCATACCTTTGCACAGTGTCACAAGTCTTCTAACAATGAGTCTCTGATTGGTTTTGAGATTTGCACTGACATCCCAATAATACAATGGTCACTTAGATGTAGCTGAAGTGGATGAAAATAAGGCAGTAAGCAGTCATGGTGGCAACCTTTTGCAACAGCTTGTGTAACTTTGTGTGTATTTTGGGGTTTTTGTTGTATCAAATTGCCCTTTTATATATGCAACAGTTCATCACATCACAAATGCTGTTACATTAGATTCATAATAGTGACAAAATAAAAGTACGTTTGAGAGCAAGGTTTTGATAAGATACAGCGCTTACGATTACAAAAATATTTAAATGTACATTGTTTATCGTTACCACTGTGCCAGCCTATTTTCATTCATATTAGCCTTACAAAACGCCTACTAAATATATGAGATATTAAAGGAGTAAACAGGTGAGTTGCACTTTGGAAGCAACTAACAAAAAAGTGGAGCTTAGAAATACTGTGTTATATTATATAAATCTGGATCTATGGGTAAAAGAAGTCTATCAATCGGTGTTATGCCAGACTTTTTAATGGTCTGTTTTTAAATGTATTTATTATTTTGTCCGGTGACATTCTTGTTAGAACACCCTTTAAAAGGCAAAGCCAACACATTGTCCAGCAGGTGTCTTAAATTTCTCCTTTTGTTCCCAAACAGAAGCTCACAGTTTTGCCAGTGTCTGTTTTCATACACAACGTACTCTCCTGAGAGTTTGTTACCACCGTTTCTCTTTCTATTATTTCCGAGAGTACCTGAAGAGGTTAAAAAAAAATACACACAGTAGACAATTGTACCACACATTGTCTTCACTTTATTTTTTCATCAGCTTTTCTGGGCAGAATATAAATCTTTAAAACAGTTAACTTATTGCATTTATACTGCTCAAAAATATAATGTCTTTGCAATATGGCGTTATATATTTAGACCTATTTGAAACCAGTTTTTGCAGAGTTCAGTACCCTTAATGGGAGAATGTCCTCCACCCATTCATTTGGGGTGACCATCATGCGCTCCCACAGGGCGGCCTCAAAGGGAGTGGAGTCCATCCAGTCCACCAGGGCTCCATAACTTCTGCCTGCAGGGAGACCGAGACAAATAAAGTCTTAAAAAGGACAAGCATTACACTTCTCATATAGCTTCATGTAAGTAAGTGTTTGAGGCCCAAAGAGTTAACATTTTCAAATGTTTCACAAATAAAGGAGAGTAAAGAAAAAATACATATTTCTTTGTATCATCATTTTGTATTTTACTTATTTTCTCCCTCACAAATCATCTCAACCCCCTCAGATTTATTTTGTAATGTTATATATAATTCTATATATCACTGACAGGGGATATTGTAGTGCCTAATGTTATTTCTACTTTAGATACTTTGACTACATTTTGTTGAGAATAATTCTGATTGCATGACTTGGACTATAACAGAATATGTTTACTCTGTTTTATTGATATATCAATTGAGTTTTGAGTATTTCCTGACATTCTGCTGGCCAACCAGTAATTCAAGAATGTAATGGCTGGATAAATCACAATGGAAAATGTGCAGGTTGTAAACCTAAATTCATGTGACTGTGGGATTAATATTGTGCCAAGACATTTAGATGTTGACATCTGCCAGGCAATAGTCCTGTTAGTTGAAATCAAAGTGAATATAAGTATTGATTAATAAATAATTGAACACTTTGGTGGCTTGGTGATTACCTGTGATACCTCACAATGCGACCCCAGGTTTTACATATAAATGACAACAATTTGACATCTAACTGAAACATGCACTTTACTACACTGTGCTGCGAACTGTATTTGATCAATACGTTTTTTAAGGAAATTTCTTAGACTTTTAACCTTTCTATGCTCCAGCTGATGATGAATACCTTAGCATTAGTCAGATTTCTTATCAGTTTGTGTTTTTAGAAAAAACATGACCTCTCCCTCTACCTGTTCCAGCTCCAATCCTCAGGCCCCCCAGCAGGTTGCTGGCTAGTCTGTCCCTGTCCCACACAGTGAGCTCCACGCAGGCCTCTGATAGGTCAGCGTGTCTGATGCCGTCGTACACCATGGTGTGGTTAAACGCTGGGTCTACTGTCCTCCGCAGCACGCGCGTCTTCTGGCGACTCTTCCTGCTTGTGTCCGGCAGAACGAAGCTTGAGATGAGGGGAAAGAGGGACATTTGTTGAGTGATTGATTTGAACTGGAATACCACTCATGTTAATTCATTTAATATGAGGCTAAGGTTTTAGCTAGGAAAAGGTTAGTTTAGCTTAGCATGATACTACAAACATGGGTCTATGGTTGGTTTAATAAAATCCACTTCCATGCACCTTTAATGTGCAGTAATTAACCATAATACGTCACAAAATGTATGTGATAATTAAAATGAGCTGTTTCACACAAAGTTAAATCTCCAGGAAATCACTGTGGTTGACAAGAAGTAGGCCAGAAGATTTCCCCCTGTTAAACCATAGAGTGTTTTTACACTTCTGTTTTTATTATAATCACAATGTTAAATTATGCTGATTGTCTGCTGGCTATACATTTATTTTTAATATAAAAGAAGTTGACAACATTCTCATCTAACTCTCAAAAGAGAGTATTTCCCTAAATGCCTGGGGTATTTCTCTAAGATGGATATTTATTTCATTCTTACCACTTAACATATGGGTCGATGGTTGCCCTGATTAGAGGCAGGTTTTTGCATTCTTTCACCCAAATTTGAATCTCTCCAGTGCTTGGACCCTCCTTCACTAATCCTTCAAATAAGAAATTCAAATAAATAAACAATAAGAACCTTGTCTTTAGAATGGGTGAGATTTTGGATAACAAAAGATAACGACAAATTTAAAAAGCAGATTAAGACTGTGTGTTGACCTTCACTGTGGATGATCTCTGGCAGGAAGCGCAGGGCTAGCCTAATTTCTCCTCGACCATGTGATGGCGCTAGAGTGGGTAGAGTCTGAAAAGTTTGAGTATAAATTACAAAAACAATACTTCCTTAATCTATCTTGTAGTGCCACTGCCAACATTCCTTTGTGCACAGGTAATACAAAACAATACAGCTGCATATAAAGTAAGCCTGTGGTTTTCTTCTTACCCTTGCTTTCAGTGCCAAGTCGTTCATCTGGGTGTGGTCAAAGTCCCATTTGGAGAGGTCGACGTCTACCTCGCCCAGGAAACTGTTCCTGCCAAACGTGTCGTGATGCCAAATAGAGAGAATGAGCGTCTGGGTTCTCAGGTACTCCATGCGAACACGATACTGTGGGGTCAAATAAAAGGGAGATGCTTTTGTTTGTTCATTATCATGCAGGTTTAAGCATTACAGAGTGGAATAGTGTACGTGCTTGCTTAGTACTACTTGAAATATATTTGTGGATTCTTACTCTTAGGATTTCGTTGAAAGTAGGACTCAGTGTTTTCTTTTTAACAGATGTTTTCCTCTTTCCAAGATTAGCTTTGTCAGGGACCAGGTAGCTTTTGACATACCTTAAAAAGAACAAAAAAGATACACCTTCAGTATAATGTTTATTTGCTTTGTCAGTCGAGGTACATTTCTGTTTTAAAAGTACTGAAAGGACACATTTATAATAATAAAAGGAGTATACTTTCTGACTTGCATGCACAAATGAATAACCTTAAATTAATTACACAGTATAGCAATGTTATTCTAGCATTTGTCAGGTACAGTACGCACGGATCTGAGCGGCCCCTCTTTGGGTCGACTGCAGCCAGGTCTTGGCACTGAGCCACAAAGATGTGAAACTCTCTGAGCTTCTGGATGTAGTTGATGGAGAACTGGATGTTTCCCTGAACCTCCACAAAGTCCCCGCTGTACATGGTCATCACGCTGCCGCTCAGCTAGGAGCACAGACAAACAAGTAGGTCACATTTTATATCATAAATCATATCGGTTAGATAATTGTTTTATTGGATAACTTGTTGTTTTGGTTTTCTTTAAATCAAATCAAATCTCGAGGTCTGGACCAAGCTAATTAGTCACATTTAAGGGGAACTCCACCCATCATGTATTTCAAATATGTTTCCAGGCGTTTTCAGGTTTCATAAGGAGAACTACTGCATACAAATGAAAAACATTGTATAAAGCCGGCTTCAAATTGTATATATTGCCTCAAATGATGTCACTTGTTGGTTGGGTCTAAATAATAAATTTAATTTTAAAATTAAAAACAAACTGGGGATGTATAGTTAACAATTGTATCTTCACAGACCTCTCCAGCCCTCATTGCTGTTTGAGACTAGCAGCTTTTGGCTACATTAGCAGTTACTACCAGCGTAATGCAACTGAATCTTTGACCAAGCTCCACTTACAAAGTAAGTGCATGAATTTGGAGATACTACTTCATGATAACAATGTATCTCTGATTCTGCATTAATTGTTATCCTTTCTTTTCAAACCATCTTCTCAACATTGCGATGCTAAATCGATGGAGTTCTTATTGTTGGTGTATTTGAAGATTTGGTCCCTACCATCAGTCTGATGTTGATAGGTAGCCCATTGTTTATACTTAAAAACTGGGCCTTACATGTGTCTTGTTGATTGAGACAGTGATCCAACTCCTAGCAACATAATGATTGTTTAATGTCTATCACAACTTAAGTGTAAAGGCAAATGAGCACCGCAGTTTAAGAAAGCAGTGTCCGAGAGTTAATTATGCAACAAGTAAGCAATGCATGCTACTGTGTTTGAACATACAGAGGACAGAGACGCCATGCCAGAGGAGCCGGTGAGGTTATTCAAGGAGCTGCCCTTCATTAGTCTCTCTGGGTGGTCACTGTCCTCGCAGGTGGAGTCAGTGTCTCTGCCAGTGTCCTGAAACACAAAGAGCAGGGATGCAGAGCAGGCTTTGACCGACAGGTCTAAAAGATGCAGGGGTCGTTTTACCTCCTTCTGTAGGAACGAAGGAACCGATTTGCTCATGTTCTTCAGGTGCTCCGGATCTGAAAATAAGGACGAGGTGGGCGATGGGATGGATGAAACTAAACAGTGGTGGATTGGGAAGCAGAAGATAAGATCTTGACTCATTTGCTTGCAAACATCCATAATAATGAAAAGCATCATGCTTTTTTACCATTACTAATGCGTCTCATGTCAGCAGTTGGGTCTTGCCTTCTTTCTTGCCCTGTGAAAACAATCAAAAGATAACACGGTCTCTATAAATGATCTGTGCTTATGGCCAGCCTGACTCAGGAGTTGAGGTTATGCTCACGTGGGGATAAGGATGATGTGATGTCCTCCATACTTTTAGCCAGAGTTTTAGGCCGTGCCTCTGCTCGCCTCAACGCTTTTGTTACAAGGTTTTGGGTTTCAACATCATTCTTACCTACAGAGGAAAAGCAACAGGTTAGAAAACAGGGCGTGTTTTCATGCTCCTATTGGTCTATGCAAATATTTAGGACAGCAGTTTACATTGAAATTGGACAGAGAACAAGAGTCCTAATCTTCATTAATCATTTGATTTATAAAACAATGACACAATTGTCAATCACAATATCCCAAGCACAAGGTAGAGCCATGTCATAGCTTATTTTGCAAGGAGAAACTGAAAGATAATGCAAAGAGTGCATGATGGTGAATTATTTAATTCCTCTGGTTTTCATTTAGGATTTTGTCACTGACATTTGCTAAGATAAAGCGCTTTGAATAATAACCGAAGAACAATTCAGTGACCTTTGTAAATGTTAAATATTTGTACAGCCCTTGCTTCAAATCTATTAAACCTACTGTTAAAGAAAGCTAACATGAAGCTGCTTTAAAAGGTTTTTATAACTGTGTGGTGTCAGTGAAGTAAGAGCAAAGTATCGCCAAGCCCAAAAACTAAACATCGGCAGCTGAAGGCAGGTACACACAGGGTTTAAAGAGATTTGCTTCTACCAACACAGATAACCCAATGCGGATATGATATCAAGGATACTGCTGGATACAACCCAGAGATAATAATCAACCATGAGTTTGCAAACAGACAGCAGGAGTTGGACTCCTTTAATACAGCTTTATTTATTTGTATTTTATTAAACTGAAAAAATGAAATCCTATTTATTGCAAGGAATTTATTTTTCAATATATTTTAAAGTGTTTTCTTGAATTCTTATGCATATTTCAAATTCACGACCCCCTCTGTCCTTAGACTCATGCATCGGACAAGAAAAACGTATATAGAAAAAGATGGATCCAGTTTGATTTGTCAACAATCCTCCAGGTGCTGCCAAAAAACAATAAAATGGGCGTTAGCAAGGACCACGCGACTTCTGACTGAAAGTTTAGATCAAGCATTTGGTGTGAGGGATATAAGTGTATAGTTGTTTCGATCTTTTACTATTTTAATCTATAAACTAAAAAGTTGCATTTCTGCTTTGACTCACATTAAAAAAACAGCTTCATATATTAATAATATTATTTTTGTTTAAAGAGTGAAGTAAGTGCTCACGGTTTGAACTGTTCCTGGAGCTGGACCAGGTTTCTGACGTGCTGCTCACAGACGACTCCGGACCTGCTTCTGAACTGCTGTAGTTCGCCCACAGGGGGCGCTGAGTCGTCTTGCTGCCCCTCCTGCTGTAACGCTCCTCTGAGCTCGCTGGAGTGCTGGCCCTTACCGGCCCTACTAGGTCGAACTCATACCCAGACTTCTCTTCAGAGCCCTCACCCTTGACAGCTGGAGAGGTGTGGACGCTGCTCTTGTCTGTCATGCCCAGGTAATGCCGAAAGTCTGTGGGAACACAGGCCCGTGCACGTGGAATCTGAGTCTCAGTATCCTCTGATGATCTCCTTGATGAGGCACCTTTGTCGGCATTCTGCCTCTGTTTTCTGCTCTGGGAGTGGACTGGACTAACATCCATTTTAAGTCCTTTATCATCAGGAACACTCAGAGCGACCATGCTAATAGCACGACGCATGGAATTTCCACGACTGCTCGAATTGCTAAAACTGTCTTTTCTGCTCTTTGTAGGACGAGTCTCTTTTCCTGAACTGCTTGTGGATTTCGTGGAGTCTTTTGAATTCCTTCTGGAGTCAGCTGTCGAATAATTAGCCAAGTTGTTTGTGCCATCATTTGCTGCTTTTGATCCTGCCTGTCTATCATGGGGTGACTTTGACCGATTCTGAAGAGATGATTTCATGGCGGGTGGTCTTGTTTTCTCAAAAGCAGCGTCACTACACTTTAACTCCTGAGATGAAAGCTGGGCACTTATTGGCTCTTTCCTTTTAGAGCTTTTGGGTTTCTCGATGGGAAATGATACCTTGGTGTCTGATGAGGACTCGCCCCAGAACTCACGCAGAGTGTGAAATTGTGATCGGTTCGCTCCTAGGCTAGGGGACAACTTGTCTATTCTCTGATTCGAAGACTCTTCCTCATCGCTGTCTGAATCCTTTCCAATTGAAGTCAGATCATACTCCGACTTGGTATATCTTTTATTCAGTTTTGCTTGATTTGCACCGCGAGGGACCTTACCATCCCCAAGAGCTTTAGGTTTGCCAGTATAAAATGGAGACTTGTTTCTCTCCTGCTCCCAGAAAGATTTCAGCTGTTTTATCTTCTCTGCAGTACTTTCTTGATGTGGTAAACCTTTTTGGTTTGAGCGAGGACTTCTATCTTTATTAGCATCCTCCTTTCGTTTAGGAGGCCCGCTTTTATCCTCACTCTCTGTTCTTTCACTTGAACCTCTACGCATTTGTGTTTTAGGGGTGGTTTGAATTTCATCTAGCTTGTAGTCCATACATGGGCTGTTTCTAGACATAAAGAGTTTCTCAGAGTCCGGATTTGTATCCAATTGAGAAACAGGAATAGTCTCCGACAGTTCCTCTTGCAGGAGGGTTTCTCTGGACTGGAAAATATTGTTCGGTTTTGCACTGGACTGGATGTTTGTCCTTGGCTGTTGAATGAGTTTGGTTACACATGAAATCTCAGGGTCTGAACCTCTTCTGTCAGCTTCTTGGAGGTTGGCTGTAAACTTTACATAATCAGAGTTGTCATTGTTTTGACTTTGTGTTGAAGCATTCATCACTGGATTGTCTACATCCTGTTTTGTATTTGAGTTAACATTGTCTCCAGTCTCTTTCTGTCTTTCCTCCCCATGTTTCAAAGCAGAGTTATCATAAATCCCCTTCCCGTTATATACAACAGGCACAGACGGCATATCAGGTGCTCTGTAGGGTTCGTTCACTTTCTCCTCGTCTTTCTCTGCTGAGAGGCGAACAGGTTTGTGTCCTTTGTCGTGGGGCGTAATAGATTTGCTGATAAGTATTTTGGGACCTGCGTTGCTTTTCTCCCAGAATGACTTCAGATGAGAGACTTGCGGCACTTGGCTTTCATCGTTATTATCTGTACCTTCCTGACCTTGCATTTTTTCTTTGGTATCCTTCTTCACCTCCTCTCGTGTTTTAGTAACTTCCTTCTTACCTATTCTGTCTGTTGCTCTTAACTCTTCGGGCTCATTGGACTGTCTTTGTAATTGAGTTTCTACAGTTTCATTATTTGTATTGCTTATAATATCCCCGGTATCTTTTCGTGATGAGTCTTTACCCCTAGACTTGCTGATTCCTACATGTTCGGCCTTTGGACTATCTTCTGTCTTTAACCAATCGAGACTATCTGTGCTGCGGCTGAACCAGTCCAGTACCTTCGCGATGGAGTCCCCCTCATCACCAGTGGGACTGCTGGTCTGAGTGGACAATTGAAACGCATTTTTCTGATTTGATTTATTTTGCGTTGTCTCAGACTTATCAATGAAGTTGAGATCGTAAGACACAGGAGGGTCTGCATCTGAAAAAGACCATTTGAAAACAGAATAAGATACTAGTTGTATTATAATGAGAAAGCTAGTACTGTCAGAGCTTCTGTTATTGGCTTTGCGGCTATTTGCGCCTCCACCCTGCCTTAAATGACACAATCAGACTCCTTTGTTTACTTCTGTGACATGTTTACATTATAATCAACACTCAAACTTCTATTGGCTAGCGCTCCAACACATTGTACGTGATAGGCTAGGGGGGGGGGGGGTACATCTCCAATGGGTTTACCAAAACCGGCCAGCAGACCAATCAGAGCAGACTGAGCTCTGGTACCAGACACATGGTGATAAGAGGTGCTGCAGCACAGGCAGTATGATAAAAATAACCTTTTTGAACATTAAGAATAACAAAAAATAAAATAAACTTGAAAATTAGCATCAAAGGGCCCCTTTAAGTGGTAACTTTCCATCCACTCCCTATATTATTTATAACTTTCATATTACTGGTGTTTCCCACCTGTGAAGATGGCATTTGTATTTTTTTTATGATTACATTTGTCTGTGTTGCTCCAGCTGCACCCTGTGGTGTTTTCATCAGCTGCTATGGTGATAGGGAGGGGGTGATGTGCAACAAAGCCCCCTGATGTTGCTTTTTTGTCATTTTTAGGGGTATGCGCTGAAGTAACAGAGAGGAGCAGATATTGCTGCTTTATCTATAGTAGAGAAAACATTAGCAGGTACTATTAAGCTGTACATAAAAGTCTGAAATGTGTTCTTTTATTGTTTATTTTCTGACTTATGTCCGTTTTTTCTTTTTCTTATGAAATATGGCAAAGAATGTTGTCCTTTGTAGACCTCCTGAATCCTGAAGAATAAAAACAACCAGAAAAATTTGCTCTGAAATGTCACGTCAAACTGCTCACTACTCTTTTCCCAATTACTTGCTTCATTTTATTGGTCTAAAGTTTAGGAACAAAACTCTCAGTTAACATTGGATGACCAGTTCAAACAGACTTTTATCACAGTAAGCCGAGGTATTTCTTGTCACTGAACTCACCCACAGTGCTTTGGGGCAGGCTCAGCTCTCCCTGCCTCATTGATGTTCCCACACTGCTGTTGTTTCCTATGGCTGAATCCTGAATGCTGCCGCTGTGCAGCTTGAAAGTGTTTAACCCTGCATGTTCTCTTTGTTTCCGATCATCTCGTTCATCACTTTTCTGTGGGATCTCTCGGTCAGTGGATGCATCACTCCTGGTGAATGTGGCTGGTCTGAAATGATAAAGGCTGTGAGTTTTAGTCATAGGATAATTTATTAATATTTTGGATTCAGAGTTGTGTAAAGAATCGCCCACTGACCTGTCTCTAGTTATAGAAGGTGTGTATCTTTCTCTCTCCAGACTGGAGTTAGAGGAAACCTGAGATGGCTGCTGCGAGTTGTTATGTTTGGATGGCTGAGATACTTCATTAGAAACAACACTTTTCTGTGGTACTTCATCCTGTCCCTTCACATAGGACTGGTTAGAGTTCTCACTGGACCCCCGTTGGAGGCTCAGTCTTGGGGCAGGTACAATCCCCGCTGACCCACCCTGAGTGTCTAGTGCCTGGCTGTTGCTTTCCGACTGACTGGAGCTACGTCTTGAGAGAAATGTCCTCTTCTTTGGCACTGGCTTGAAACCTCCAGAGGAGGCATCCGATGTGAGGGAGCCTCCTGAAGTCTGACTGGTCCCTGCTGCGTGGCTCTTCAGAGGAGATATGGGCTCTAAGGGAATAGCAGAAGTCTAGTTTAAAATACTGGGCTGAAATCTATTTGCCGTTCATATTGTGTGATGATTCTCAATTTCAAAAATGTTAGTTTAAATTCTAACCTGTCTCAGATGACTCCTGGTCCCGCCTGGTTGACCTGTCATCATTAGTTTCAGGTGGCTCAACAACTATCAGGGAAGCACGGTTGAAAGGGTTGTGCCTCGGCTTGAAGGAAAAGGACTATAATTACTTTTGGCATTGCAATAGCTGCATCAAAATATGACCGCAACTTTCCCGGAGCAAAGGAAATATTCAGTTAAAGGTGGGGTAGGTACTTTTGGAGAAACCAGCTCGAGTGCGCTAGAATTTGAAAATACACAACCGGACAAAATCTGCCACTTCCTTACAGAGCCCCTCCTCCAACACACACGAAAGCGCACATGACCAATGAGGGCACGAGATAAGTTTGTGCACAGATGGAAGGCTGACAGGCAGGTAGGCCATCCAGTTACTTTAGCCGGGCCGGCTAAAATGATTGGTCGTGCTTTTTACAGCGCTACGGCTTCCACAGATGAATTTTTTTAATGTATTTATTGTCAAAGCATTTAATATATTCATTGCTATCGGGATGTTAAGAGCATTCCATGGAATATAACAAAAAGTGTTTCTGAAATAAATTACATACCCCACCTTTAAGGCTGTTTTGTAACACATATGCCTACCATTCTTGGAGATCGGACTGTTGAATTTAGAAGTTCTTTTTCTGCATTGCTGTGGAAAAAAACTTTTAAATATTAAATAAGCAAAGATGAATTTAAAGTAAAAACAAGCCCTACATGACATCAGGTGAAGTGCAGTTTCACATAATGTGCCTGCTGCAAAACATCTAGGCAGCGATGCTTTTCTTTCTCTAAAGTACACTGCAGTGTGCATGACTGGGGCTTACTGACTCGTAAAAGAACACACTGGTATCAAAGAGAAAGATGTCTACCCAACCAAAAGATCCAAAGAAAGTAGGAAAGCACACAATAATATCCAGCAGTCTGTGGCTGAATAACAGAAATCATTTTTCAGAAAAGGACATCTCTAACTCATGTATTTATTTAATTTAAAATGCATGTGATGGAACTACACTGTCAAACCCTACAGTAGCATAACAGGCTACAACACTAATTTAAGCAATTATATTCTACAGTCTACTGTGTGTTTAAGAAAGGTACAGAAGCTTGGCCAAATCAAATATTGACCCAACTTGTAAAATAAACATGTAGAATGTGACTAAGTGGTGGCAAAACTACATAAAAACACTGGTAGACAAAGTAAAAAAAGTATTTGTCATAATTCTCTGGTCTCTAAATAACAACCCCCCTCTATATATAATATATAAATAACAACATTATTATTTATAATTAGGTGGAAACGTTTACTCTCATTGAGAACCATTATTCTGAGAGCTCTACACTTTGCTAAACTCTTGATCTGTCAATCCCTTAATATTAGTCAAACCACATCCTGTAGTGTTGTGAGCAGAAGCTGCTGCTGGGCAATAAAACAGATAGGTTCCCAGTGAGCACCACCTATGTTTACACAGACTGAGTCACAAGACAGCACACACACATACAGAGGTACTGTTAATATTGATAGAGTGAGAATCAGAGAATAGCAGACAACTCAAACGCTAGCACACCATTTCAATCCAACACTAGTTTGGTTGAATACCATTTTTTTTAAAGAAAGGAGATGAAATCTAAAATAATTGTGGATCTGAAAAAATAAAGGTGTGTGTACTTCATCTCCTGCAGCTGTAGTGCTTCCAAACATCTGGCAGGTTTTGGTGGAGCGACGATGTCCAAACCTCGACTGCTGGGTGTTTTGGATCTTTCAATCCTGAGGGAGCCATCTGTTACAGAGAATTAACGGGAGTTTATGAATTACAACACTGTGTGATTAAAATGTCAAGTTTTATATGTTTTCATTGCTGCACTATTTTGATGTTTTTCCAGCCTCTGATGTAAAGTGTATATTTATATTTGTATCTGTTTTCCTGCAGCTGGTTTTATCTCCCAAAGTATTTCTGTTAGCTGACAGTTGGCAACAACGTCCTGAAGGACACGCTTTTGCTTCGATGAAAACCAATGATACAAAATCCAATATTTTCACATATTGTTTAATCTGATCTTCGTCTCTTCTGTAATATATAAAAAATCTACTGTGTAAGGTTATTTATTTTTTCCTTCCAGTAAGCCAGTAGACATCTGAAGGATCATGAAAGTACCTCTGAAGATGAAAACTGCTGCTGGATAAATGGTAAAAAGATATGCAAAGAATGCTGGGCCACAAATGGAGCTAAAGCATGTGCTTTATAACAAGCCCTTTGTCAACAGTGTAGCACGAACACACCTAAACCAGCTTTCCTCGGTTTCATGGAGGCCAGGATGATCTCCGAGCCATGGATATTGTCCATGTGTCTGAGAGACTTGGCCTCGTAAAACCACTCTCCAGTCTGATACTTCAGCTGAGTGTTCGGCTGTGAGCCGTCCAGTAATTTCTCCATTTTACTGAAGGGGAAACACAAAAGAGACATGTACAAATGAATAAGTCAAGAGGTCATCATTGTATCTTATTCCCATGTGACATATTTACAATGCTTACTTGAATGGCCCTGAGTCGTTTTAATTTAGTTTAAGTAGCACTAATCTCTAAATACGGAGTAGGCTTCGGGCAGAAAGAAAAGCGAGAAAAAGTGCTGGTTTGTCTCCACATCTTTAATCTTGCAATCTTTTAATGTTTCAGTGACTTTCTGAACTCGGCCTAATAAAATAAAATTCTAATTATTTAATAATATTTTCATTACACCATGTATATTTGTTCTGCTCTACTACCTCCAATGTGTACTCCACCAGCTCTACATACCAGTTGCACATGATCGATCTAAAAGGATTACGGAAAACATTCCCATCAAGTTCAAATTGAATCAAAGAGAAATGAGCAACTCTTTCCTCTTGACAGAGAAACAGTGGTCATGTGAAAAAAGGGTAGCACATTATTACAGGCTGTTGGCCTAATCCTTTTACTCAGAGACACAGCGAGCATTCAGTCAACCACTGATAAAAAAAAGTCCACCTGCCAATTCCATTTAACTCAAAATGAAAAGCACATGGTGTCATGACATTCCCGACTCTTAATGAAATGAAACGCATCTTCTACAAGGTTTTTGTTTGTAGGTTATCCTCCATGACTGCATTTTTATTGGGAAAGAAGTTCCTCCTTTTGTTTTTGGACATTAAAAGGAATACAAATGGGCCTTTTGTTTGCCTTAACAAGTCTTATATACACACACAGAGTGATTTTTGTCCCCGTCTAAATGAAGAGTTTAACAGCGATTTTAGATTTTTATTCAACATTTGTCTTTTAGGGACAGGAGACAGTATCATTCTCTTCCCTGGTGAGGTGTCCCTTATTGAGGCATTTAAGGGTTTCTATTCTTATCCGTCAGAGCAGCATGATCATCTCTCATGTGTGGACATCATCTTGGCTGTAATCTAATTGGACATCTCACATTAAGGCTTCTCAGCGAGGGAGGCGACGTCTGTTCCGGCCAAGCTGTTATTGTGTTATTCCATTATGGCCAGACAAGTACTATTTTGAATGTCCCACCAAATACCTTTTCTCACAGGCAATGGACAGATTTAAGTGTACTTATTCAATCATTAAAATGTCATTAGCTGAATACCCATGACATTAGCTGGAATGTCAGCCAAACATTTCTGCTCCTGTAAAGTAAGCTGAATGCTGTTGACATTTGAAACTTCTACCCTTAAAAAAAAGGGTCAAAGGACGTCAGATGCTGATTTATTTGAGCTAATGTATGCCTGACGCATGTTTCTACCTGATTCTCTGCTCCTCAGCCTTCTTCAGGTCTGTGTCCCTCCTCAGCACCGTCATTATCATCCCCTGCTCCTCCTCCGTCAGGTGGCTCAGGTCGATCATGGTTCCTCCTCCTCCAAGTGTGTTTCTCAGCGGGCAAGTGTGAAAAAAGCTTAGCAAGCGGGAAGCAACCAGCTGGGTCTGTCACTGTTGGACAGATTTACATTGTCACATCCTAAGTAGTTTAAAATATATATATTTTACAACCTTGACGATGATTGGTACATACCTAAAATCAAATAGACAGTCTTTAACAGTTATCTAGGGAGTAGAAAAACCACAACATGGCATTTTTAAACAGCCATTAAACTACAGTGACTTATGTACAACAGACTGTTGACTCCCCTTAGCTCAACTTAAATCAAAGACTTTTGCAATACCTGAAGCTCTTCCCAGTTCCCCCAAATGAATTCAGTAACATCATGAAAGGTAACCAAGTAGATTTTCTCAATAACAGTAACTTTGAGGTACTTTACTCGAGTATACCCATTTCATGACTTTATCCTACTCGTCTACATTCACAACAAATATTAATATTTTTCTCCCCTAAATTAATTATCAGCTGTAGGTACTACTTTACATACAAATCTATGATGTGAGGGCTACAAGCCTCACAAACGAACACACATCCTAAAGGTTATGCTTTTGTTTACATCAGACATACATAGACACATTTATTTGAAACAGCTTCATTTTGCTAGATTGAGTGCACGCAATGTTGTTTAAAATATCTATTGTTAATTGTGTTGTGTGTAATCCTATTGTCAGTGTCTTACAGCTCACCTTGCTCCTGGCACAAGGCTGAGCTGATGAAAAACACCTGCCTTTATAGATGTGTCAGCTAATTGGACTACGCCATTCCTCTCAAACCCTGAGGGGTGTTTAAAGAGGCCACCCCTTTTTAGAGCCTCTTCCCCCTGCACGCAACAATGGACTGGCCAGTAGTGCTATACATTCCTGCAGTGTGGAGATGAGGGGGGGTATGTGAGTTTCTCTTGGGCAGAAGAGCACACAGGATGTCACCCATTTTTGTGACGTTTTGTTTATGCGTTAAATGCTAGATTGTGTCTGTTTATATCTACACCTTTTTGTTTAAACCTAATTGATTTTATTACCCATCTTAAGACTGTACATATATTGGGCAAATAAAATCCTTATTTTTGCACTTCAACCTGCATTCCTGATTTTTGCGTACCCTGGTCCTTCACATATGATAAACTTATAACATTCAAAGCATTTACAGTTTATCTTGTGTCCCTTTAAAGGGGCCCAGTCCTCTTGTTTGGTACCACTGGACAAAACCACAACATATTTAAATGAGCCCATCTCAATTTACCACAAAACTACAAATTATGCTTACACAATAATGCATTAACGTTAAAAGTCGAATCATCTTATGAATTATAATAATGATTACCTGCACACTGGTACTTTTAATACTTAAAGTAGATTAATCCCAGTATAGGTTTGTACTTTTAGATAAGAAAATAATCGAAGTACTTCTTCCACCCCTGTTTCTTAAAAAAAGTACTTAAAAAAAAACAGTTAAGCCAACATCTTGCAAGAAAACAGCATCTGAGGGCTTCTTAACATTTAAAAACCTATTAATGTGTCATACCCACTTAATGCGAAGAAACTCAGCTAACTGACAGAACCATTTTTACCGAAACAAAACACAAGTCTCACAAGAAGTGTCTAAATGAGCCCTTAGCGAAAGAATGCTAACACACTTAGCACAGAACTCTAGGTATAAATACCCTTATTACATATCGGATCTGCACAAACAAGATATTCTCTCCACAGATTCTAGGGGTATAAGTATCATCACTGAGCGATCAGAACTCGCGACAGGGGAAACAAACACAGACATCACGACACGGAGCTTTACGGAGCAAAAACGGGACATTGTCTTACCTATGCTGTTGTTCTGATCAAAAGTTGTGTTCAATGGCATTAAAACGATAAAAACGCTGCTGAAGGTTAATCCATAGGTTAATCCAATGTGTCTGTGTCACTTTGAAATGATGGATTTTAGGAACTTCCCCTTGATTATATTGGCTCTAATGGTTAAAAAGAGGTGTCAATCATCAAAATCGACCGAGGGGGGCCAGAGTTATGGAAAATGCACCCAAATGACCACAGAATTGTTTGTTTTTCTCTAAATCTCTCTAAAAATGTAAAATGTCACTTATTTTGCATCAATCTTGATACAGGGTACTTATATGTTATAGTTTGGATTCCTAAAGCTTTTAGTCTACTATCCCATCATTCAAGGGTGGTTTTCACTATAAGTATTGTTTTTTTTTTGGACGGACACTATAATCTACAGATTTTTCAGATTCAATCTGAAAACATCTAGATTCAGATTGAATCTACATGTTCAATCTGAATTTACTTTAAAATAAAAAAAATCTATATTGATTCTGACTCTTCTACATCCAACTCACAGGTTTATCATTGCTTTGAGAAAAAAGATTATTAAGTTACCCCTTTTTAGAAGGGAAGATATAGTCAATTGTTCTGGGAATGTCATTTTCGAGCCTGAGGCCTGAAAAACAGGCTCGGGGCTCAACTGGTTAAGTGTATTTTGTGAGCTCCTTTTGAATGTTTATTTAGGAAACTGGCTGTTTACATAACAGGTAAGAAGTCAAATGCCCAAAGTACCGACTTTGTGAGCATTTATACTTACTACATTTATACTAAAAACAACACATTTTTCATCACATAAGACCAAAAGAAAGTAAAATGATACATGTCTTTGTGTAGCTGCAGATTCTGAGATAAAAGTGAATAAGCTGTAGGACACTGTCATTGTTTTTCTCTCGGTTAGGCAAACTTAATTTAATTTGATGCATTAGGTTAACTTTGGCTTTGACTGTTTCAAATAAAAGTAGTTTGACTTGTTTTACACAGGTTCTAGCAATGGATATTTTCAGAAATAGTTAAATCATGCTACTGATTGCATCCTTTTGTTATCCACTTTTAGCAAACACCTATTTATGAATAAGTAATGATGCAAGTTGACCTTTATTGATGTCAGAGTGTGTCTCCTACCTTACAGGACGCATGCAGGCTGGTTACAAATGGCTACTGTAAATCCCATCCTGATGTGTCTGTCGGTTAACAAAAGCAAACAGGTGAAGAAGGTGTAGCGGTGTTTGACTCCTCCACTGCTCTGATGCTGCTGGATGTGCTGCTGCTGTGAGCTGAGGAGAGGGTGGAGTGTGTGTGTGTGTGTGTGTGTGTGTGTGTGTGTGTGTGTGTGTGTGTGTGTGTGTGGGGAGGACCTGTCATGTGCAGCAAGTACAAGCAGCCAGCAGAGCAGTTAAACTCTTTTTTTCCTCTGAGGTGTCTTTTGTGCTGTAATGGCAGGTGAGGTCCAGCAGGTGTCCTCAGTTGATATCATTATGTTTGACAAAAGGGTGTGGACATCCTGAGGTATTTAAAAACGCAATCACATGTTCACAATACAAATATGTTTGAAGGCCTGTGTTGGGAGTACACACGCTGCAGACATTATTCCAACTGTAACCTGATGTAACTCCATGACTTTTAGGAACACCTTTATGTTCAAACTACTGGTTAGTTGTTGATCAGTCCAGAAAGAAGAGATAAACAAAAACATCTGGAAACCAGACCTTGACAGAAGCTGGGAAGTCTCTGAGGCTTTATAACTGCGGAAGATGAATAAACTATGAGTTATGCTGCTGGCTGATTGTGTAATTTGGTTAAAAACACGAGAACTTTATCAAAAATGTTTGGCTTATGTCCGCAAAATGGTGTGATAAGTGCCTACCATGGCATGACTTTGTTGGCGTGTTTGATTTTTGTTAAGTTGTTATTGTTTTATATTGTTATTTCAAGTATCCTAAACTCTAGAGGCATTTTGTGAATAACATTTACTTAAATACTTACTAGTTGCTGGTTATTTTACATTCAAGTTAAATATCCAAACACTCTTGATTGAGCTGCCTTGTCTTTGAACAAGTTGACTTTATGGTTGTGCTTGTTGGTCAGACTAAACAAATTGAGATTTAATGACAACATTCGGAACTACAGTAGATAAATATGATTGGGATTTGATAAACAATAACCATATTACTTCTTTGATAAATCAATAAAATAATAATCAGCTGCAGGTTAACAACCCAGTAAAAACTGGCTGCTGTATGCCAGTGATTCACATTTCTGTATGACAGATTTCACATTTACATTAAATTAAAAAAACATATTCGGCACAACAGTTTGTGGAAGCTGCTCTTTATTTGTAAAAGAAAGAAAAGACTTCAGTCATTGTCTGCTACACGTTCTAATTACATAAAGAAAATATCTGCGGAGACAAACGCAGAGAATATCCTGAATCAAACTTAGGTAGAGTCAAATTTGATTGAATTGCTTTCATATTTCATACATCTTTCACTTTTGAACTCAAAGAACAGTCAGTTTTTATATACACACAGAGCGCCGATCAACAGTGCTCCTCCGCTCCACCCTGGTCCTCTGGATCTTTTATACAATTAATTTACATCAAATCTGTGACCCTTTTTCCCCGTTAGCGTAGCGATGGCTAACCAACAAGCAGACACACTCCATCCTGTCACCCCGCCCCCACCCACTTCCACTGAGGAACGATAATGTGGAAAGATGTGTGCAACATGAAGACAACTCGTTCACATTCAGAGTAAAGGCAGCCTTGAATACGGTCAGTGAGTCAATGGCATGCCAAGCTTAAAGCAAATGGAGCCCAGTGTGACGTTCAGATTCGTGGATTACGTGTTTTTCAACTAGACAGGAAACGATCCATTGCAAAAAACCCTAGGCACAGAATCGAATATATACTGCTGACTGACTCATACTCTAACCCCTGCACTTTGAGTACAATGGAGATTGTGAAATCTTTCATCTAGTAAAAAGGTTTCTTAACACAAAACTCATAGAATATTTAGTGCTCTATCATTCCGCTTAATAGGTGTAATTTATATAATAGTTTTTTTTTTTTTTAACTCTACCTCTCAATGATAGTCTGAGATCCTTGTTTAATGCTGAAGCACTCCCACAGCTGTTCAATGATAGATTTTACATTATTTTTTCACCCCATTCTTAAACCAATAATCATAAATAAATACAAACAACACACGAGGAATGTCTACTGTAAACACGGTAAAAAAGACAAAAACTAAACAGGTGTAAACGCCATTAGCATCACTACTTAGTGACAGTTAAATAACTGTAGGGAGTGGATGACTGATGATCGGACCCCCTCCGCGCTGAACATCAAGCCTTTACATCCAACCACAGTATTTCCAAATACATAACATCAAAGTTTCTCAGCACCCATATCTATCTTTACAGAATACACTGTAAAATGGATAAGGAATCCTCTTTAAGGGGGTTTAGACAGCAGCATCACTCCACGTCTCGGACAAGTTACAGAATAATGGGTGTGAGCTACCGCCAAACGTCACTGGGACATGGTTACCATGGTTTCTGACAGTCGTTGCACCATTGTGTTCTTGACATGTCTGTATTTGGGGAGTGTGTGAATGTTTCGCTGTAGAGTTAGACTGCAACGAGGACAAAGCTTTGCTGCTAAGTGCTTCATCTTCCGAGAGACACTTTTTCTTCATTACATGAACTGCATCTGCAAGAAAGGTAACAAACATTCTTAGTAAATTGCTTAAATGAGAATAGAAATAATCAATTAGGTAATTGACTGTTTGCAAAACCCTTCCCCAGAACAGCAATAGCTTATATGTATAATATAATAGCAGTTGTGGTAAGCTCTGGATTTGTGTTGAGGTGCTGTTTATCTGGCTGTTCCTTGGCAGGTCTCTCCTTGGCTTCTTAAAACCAAAAATATGAGAACATGTGTCGCTCTCTGAGAGAATTAAAGAGCAGAAAAATGTGTATTAAAAATGTAGAATCAATGCATCATCTAATTGGCTCTTCTGATGGGCCTACAGTATATACCACCAAGGACCTTATAAAAAAATATAAGACAATTACAACACTTTTTAAACCAAAAACTTCAGCCCATCTTGGGGCATATAGCTCTTCAAAATGTCAATGAAAATATAAACTTAAAAGAAAGCGCCTCTTGTATTTAATGTTATTTAGCCCTTTTTTCTATAAAATCAACCTGTTAGTAACGAGTTAGAGTTACCCTACAATTGTTGTAGGGCTACAGAAAGCAAAGTTATTCAAACCTGACAACCCTTATTAGAATGTTCATGAAATTGGGAGGATGCTGACTTCATGTTTGGGATCTGTGAGCGTAAGCCCATGGCCTTTAACATGATATCATGCAGCCATTATTGTGCTAATTTAAGAACATGTTTTCCCTTGTTTTAAAAGGAGTCAGCTGAAAATATTAAAAGTCAGCCAGAGAGACCACATTTTCAACCAACACAGAGATAATGTCAACTTAATTACCACTATTGAAGCAATAGCGGCTCAACATTAATCTACAACAATTTTCTTCTGACGACATTTATGTTTCATGGTTTTTAAAAATAATTTTTGTAGACAACACTGCCTAATGATAACTTGAAGGACAGAGCTAAGCAAACAGTCAACTGGTTAAACTCAGCAGTGGCTGCAAGGTTCAGTTGACACAGGTTGGAGCAATACGTGATGACAGTGCAGGGACAAAGGGTTAGAATGAGTCTAGCTATGTTTAAGACGCATTACATCCATTAAAACAGCAAGAAATCCAAGCAACAAGGGTCAAAATAAAACAGAAAAAAAGAAAAGTAAACATGTAGCATCTAATCGGATGAGGGAGACATCAAGTATGTTGAAAGAAAGGGGAGTTAGCAGTGAGCGTGCAACACATGCAGGAGCAACCGCTAGCAAAGACCATGCTGTACCTAAAGAGACGCTCTACAAGAAATCCTTGAGAGAGAGGTGTGCAAACGGGTCCTGTCCAGGGGCTCGGAGGGGGCTCTGGCTGGAAGGACTAGAGGCAGCGGAGGGCTATTTCAGGACCAAATACAGGAAGTAGGAGGACCAGAGGAGAAGTCAGAGTCAGTACAGAGACTGAAGCAGGGATGAGATTAGTTTGGAGAGGCTGTCACGTATGAAAGAAGGGTTAATAAAAAGGAGTACTTTTGGGGGGGGGGGGGGGGGGGGGTCAAGACTGAGATGATTCACAGTTTTGCTCATCATTAGAGTGATGGGTCCATTGTTAAAACTGTCATCATCTTCAGCGGTATTCACACCGACAACAAGGCTTACATGGTGACTAATTACGATACACGTCACGGCACAATGGATACACCTATTTACTCAACCTGATAACTGTGCAAACAGATACTGACTTCATTGTGCATCAGCTCGGGGGCGTGGTCAGACTGCTGATCACCCACCTGAGCGCTGGACACAGAGCCGAAGGGGTTGGGAGGCCTCATCACCGGCTGGGAGTACATCATGGTGGGGGGGTTCATCATCCCCATAGAGCCCATCTGTTGAGGCTGCGCAGAGATGAGAGGTGTCATGTCAGTGGCTTTAAAAAAAAAAATGAAGACGCTATGTGTAAAGTTTATAACTGTAAACGTAAAACACTTTTTGGTGTATTATTTGGTCTGTAGTCTGTCATACAATAGTGACAATTTATTCAAGACCAAGAATATATATTTAAAGGATGTGTTATATGAATAATGACTAAGATAACACAAGCACATTTGATGAGTAAACTTTGACTTCCTTGTTATAAAATACAGATTAATTTAAGCTTTATCTTTGAATTCATAATGTTTCATACAACCTCTAGAGGGCGCTAAACCCAAACATTTCAAACTCTACACATAATGGATTCTCATTCAACAAAACGTAAGCATCATAGGTGACTACGTATACAGTGTTACTGTATAATATTTGAAACTGTTAATCATTAAGAAGAATAATCATATCATGCAACGAAAAGTGCCGTCTGTGTGCATTCCATACATTACCCCTCAAAAGTCAAATAAATTAAAAAAAGACAACCCTGTGTCAGTGAAAGTAGAATAATAATAAACTGAATGTGCTTTAAATAAAATAAAAAAACGTTCAAAAGAGAAAAGTCTCTTGATCCAGTTAAACTCAATCAATTTCAATTCATTCTCGAAACATAAGGAACAGGTCAATTCATCTGATTCAGCGGCATTTCGGATATTATATTATATCAGAGTTCCTAAATGCTACTAGATCTACACTGTACATTTCCCAGAATACTGACCATGCCGTATCCCATCATGCCTGTGGGTGTGGTGGCAGGGAAGGCCATGACTGACGATGGCTGAGGTAAAAACAAACAGGGTAGTGAGAACACAAACTAGCAGCATAACAATACATCATCCGCCATTATTGGGCAATAAACTGACAAGAGCAGCAGAAATCAGGAGCACTACAGTTAGAAATCTGTGCGTCACCATGGAAACGGGGTTCCAGGTCGTGGACGGCGCCGCTTTGGGCTGCCAGCCGGTGCCGCCGGTCATCCTCTTCTCCCCCGGCTGAACCCAGTGCATGTCGCTGCAGATTAAGACGACAGTGGATGTTAGCAACAGCTTGTATCTGCCCTAAAAGCACAAAGCTGCTGCTGTGTGTGATGCAGAGAGTGTGTGATGCAGAGTGTGTGATGCAGAGAGTGTGTGTCTAATTATGTGTGTCTGTTAAAGCCACCGAGCGCTCATCCATTTCTTACTTTTTCATCGTGCCGTTTCCAATCCCGAGGTCTGAGAAAAGAAAAAAAGACAGTTCAATGGGAAGGTCTTAGACGTCAATGCCTTAATGAACATGCACTTTAATTAGAGGAGCTGGAAGCCACAGCATCACACTCACTGCCCACAAGGTTAGCCAGGGAGGAGTCAAGGTCATCTGACACCAGCTTGTCCGGCAGCAGACCGCACGCCTGGCCGGAGCCGGCATGGGTCGGTTTCAGGATGCCGCCAGAAATATCTGACAAGACACAGAGACAATAAACCCATGTATACTTGTTGGGTTACACATGGATATCTTTAAAGTATTTTGTCAGTAGTAGTTTAACAATTAAAAAGGATAGAGATAAGTCCAGGACTATATCACTCTATTCTTGTATTATTTTGTACTTGTCAAGATCAGTGATGAGTGTGAGTAAATTGTTCTCATTTGACTTTTTCAAGAATATATAAAAAAAAAGAAAAACATGAAAAATGCAGAGAATGTTTTGGACCTTTTAGAGTTTTTTCTTTAAAAAAAAATTATCTGTAAATGTTAAGGACAGAAAAGGCAGACTGCTATATAAACTAAAGGAGCTTTAGTGTTTTGGAAAAGTAGTATAACTTTCACCTTACTGCCTAGCGATTTTAATTTTAGATGAATGTTTACTTGACTTAAAACCATCATATTGCAGTTATTGAATGTAAATCCTCACCATCACAATCAAGGCTGTTGTTGCCTGCGGCTTTGGCTCCAAAAACGGACTCAAAGTCCACTTGGAGTCCTCCAGCCGACTGCTGAGCAGCGGCCTGCGGCGTCGAGTATCCTTCACAAGAGATGGAGACAGCTGCAGTTACAGAGATAAAAAAGTGAAAACTGAAAATGTGGACTTTGTTTTCTGCACTGGCCCGTGTAGAACAGTGTCCATAGATGCAACGGTAGAAACTGGTTTACCCTCAGGAGTTTGTAATACTGTTTTCACAGCGTCAGAAATACTGTATGATTTATCTGATTCTCGCATGATTTTTTTTATTTCACTCAGGCCGTTATTTACTAGCACCTTAAAATCTGTAAAAGTGAAATCCTTGTCCTCAAAAAACATTAAAGCTTCCATTTAAAAAAAAATATTGTTTTAACTCAAATGTTGTCTGAATGGAAGTTCCAAATGTAAGATGAAGTTTGAATGTAGTGTGGTTATTTTAAACCATTTCTAAACAATTTGTACAGAACAATTGAACAGAGAGCTGAGTGCTACCACTTTCTCCACAGAATAGCAAAATAAATCTGTGGCTGAGTGCGCCGCAGAGCCTTCAGTACCTCTGAATAGACCTGCTACAGAGGGCTCAGTGGGGAAGGGAGCCTGGTGTGGGAGGTGCTGAGCAATGGACACTGGACCACAGAAGGAGTCTGACACGCCACAGGAAGCAGGACGAGATAGACAAAGAAGAAAGAGAGGAGAAGAAAAAGAGCAAAAGGAAAAAGCATTTCAAGACCAGGCCAAAGAGACAGGTGGGAAATGACAGCAGTACAGGCAGAGAGAAGACGGATAACATGATTGTAGTTGTTCAGTTCTGAGTGTTTTAAGTACAGTTTAAGATTAATAGAAGGATAAAATAGTGTAGAAAACTGTTGTAGCTACCAAAAGGGGGGGATTAAAGGAATAGTCTGACATTTTGGGCAACTTCCTGCTGAGAGTTGGATAAGAAGATCAGTGAAAAACAATACAATTAAAATAAAAACCTCTCCTTTTGGTTTCAGAGCAGAAATAAAAGGTGTGTAGTAGCAGACAAACACACATATACGAAGGTTATCAATCTTCTCCAGGCAAGAGGACAAATCATTGTATTTCCCAAAATGTCAAACTTTTTCTTTAGTTTATGACCACATTTCTACTGTTTATATCTAAATAGGAGCCCTGAGGGTTAGGGTATGGGACCCTATGTTTGCCAGGGCTCAGGAAACATAGGCTGGGATGGAGAGCCATCATAGTACCTGAGATTGAGTGTTCTATCCGAACTGTGCGTTTGTAATTGGTTGAAACGGATGAGTTTGTGTCAATAAAGGGATTGTAACGATCTGGAGAATCAAAAATAGGGTTGGTAAAAGAAGAACAGGTTTTAACTTAAAAGCTCTAAGGCATGATTGTATAACAATGCAACACCAAACTTAATTTGAATAGAGGATGGAAGGTAAAGCGAAATGGGTGTATGGCCTCTACACTGGCTATAATAAAACATAGCTGGAGCTTGGTATGAACTGCAATGAGGATTGTTTTGAAGACAGATAAAAGAAGATCAATTAAGAGACAGAAAATCAACAGTCAGCACAGTAAACATGCAGGCTCGTCATGCTTTATAAGTGGCAACAGACAAATGAACAAGAGCGACAAGAAGACTTTTGAGGAGAAACAAAATGAGTCATTACCACCAAACATTTCATGACCAGATGTCCTAGAGGGAAAGCTAACACCGTCTGAAGACACGACAGGCAAGTGAGTGGCTTCGACAACGATTTTTGAGAGGAAAGGGTTAAGGTTTGGCATTGATTCATCTCCAGCTTCTGCAGAGGTGAAAGGATCTAGGCAGGCAGAGGAAAGAGAGACAGAGAAAAAAGACAAAGACAGACAAAAAGAGTGGAGAGGAAGAGGGGGGAATCAGAGTCAGACAACAAGAGAAGGACAGCATGCAGAAAAGACCCAGAATGTTGAGAAACACAGATGTTGGAGGTGCTGAGAGGCCGCTGTGTACCTGCCCACGCTGTAGCCACTGGAAGCCCTGAGGAGCCCGACTGCATGGAGGCCTGGAAGGCCTGCAGGTCAAAGAGGTCGCTCTCCATCTTCACTGCACTGCAGAGGGGAAAGAAAACCAATGTTTAACTACTTTAAAAAGAGACCCCTTTTCTCATGTGCAAAACAACTAAAAAGGTAGCCAAAATAAAAATGTTAAAGTCCTGATTCAAAGGTTGGAGTCAAAAATACCCTTTTCGTCTTAAAATACACTTCTCTATATTTATAGATGCGAACACGGTGTATGTGGTGTTTTTTTCTGCCTATTTGTTTAAGATTTTACTCTTTATTGATATATAGTATTTCGTAACTGTTGTGTTCCACATGCACTGCCATGAAGATTGATTATTTTTGGGTTTTGTGATTGGACGGAAAATATTGGTAGTTTTTTGGAAAATAAGGGAAAATTGCATGAACTAAAAGTGTTAGTTCAGTGAAAGAGAGAACATTGAATTCTGAAGGTGGAGTTTGTATTTGTTGTTACATAAATGACATAGGTGTTGTTATTTGTTTATTTATTAGACTAAAAAAAGTTTAAGGTTTTTGAAATGACCTTCCATGAAGAGTATGAACAGACAATACACATCTCTATAGAGACCTTTTCTAAGTTATCTAAAGTGGATGAATGTTAAGGGACTAGATGATTGCAGCATTGATATAAAATAGTGGGAAAAAAACGAAATAAACCTATCCATAACTAAAATATATCCTGTCGATGTATGCGTACCCGTTGGAGCAGCTGGGCGTGGAGAAGAGGTCGATGGCTGGTGCTGTGCTGATGGTGCCCCCGGTGGTGGAGACGGGCGATGTGTCGGTGGTGGCGAAGGAGGGCCTCTTGGAGAGCTCTTTGAGCCTCTGTTCCTGAGTGAAGAGAAACTTTCATTCAAACATACAGGCAACAACTGGGAATATTAAAGTGTACAGGTGTTGTTTTTAAAACAGAAAGTCCACCTTCAGAGCTTTGAGTCGAGCCTGTTCCTCTTCCAGAGCCGCCTGCTTCTCCCGCTCGTCCACTTTAGTGAAAGACATGCCTGTGCTGGCCAGCGATGACACTGCGTTTGACAGAGTGCTGGCCCTGGAGGAAAGAGACACAAATGTACTCTGCATTATTTGGTTTATTCTTTTTATAGTTTTTTTCCTATTATACATTTGTAGCTGTGCACTTTTCTCAAATTGCTTTACTTTTTACATACCGTCATATTTTCAGCTCGTGCGAATGCTTGCTATACAAATCATAGTCAAAATAAAACTTGACTAAAAGACTGACTTGATTCAGCACAATCTAATTAAACGTTATATCTCTGAGCAATATAAATTGGAAGACAGATTTGAGGAAGAGGAGAGAGGAGTTCAGTAATATTGAGGGGAGCTTTAATGTACCTGCTGGCAGCCGTGGAGTCTTTGACCTTCTTGCCCTCTAAAGAGGCCAAATGCTGCTCCAGAGCTTCCAGAAGGCTACTGGGAGCCTGCCGTGACAGAAAACACACAATCAGCAAGTTCCTAAGATGTAGAAGATGTAGTCTACGTGGACATCCAGACCATAAAGGACAGTGGTGGGCAACCACGATAGAGCAAAAACATCCCACACCATGAAATACACCAAACAGCCAATTTATGTCTTTGATTAGGAGGTTGAATTTGGGCCACAAAAACTAGCTTTGGGCTAACAGTTACCCACCACTGATAGATGACTGCATTCCAGCCAAAAAGCTACTTTGGATGAGAGTCACATCTATGTGGGATGACGTACTGCAGCACGACTCTTCAACAGCCGGGGCGTTGTTGAATCGGCCGTGTCTAAGTACAACGGGGCAGCCACTCTACAGGAGATGAGCTACACTGGTTTACACCTCAACAACGTGACCAAAGTGAACAGAAATTTACCACAGCGAGTGTTTTTTCCTTCAACTTTTTTTCACCACGATGTAGGAGACAGAGTCAGAGCAGAGGCATGCGGAAAGACAACACTGAAGCAAGTCACGGACATAGAAGAAGAGTGAAATGATAGTACTTACACAAACTGTGAACTAAAGTGGAAAGATAAGGGGGAGAATACAGAATATAAAGGTGGTGACAGTCAGAGGGGGAATGCATTTTGGCTGCAGTTCTCCGGGGTAACATGTTTCTGTTAAATTGGTTCCCCATAGCACAACACAACAGTATGTGCACTTCATCTAACTGTCACTGTGCAGATTTACTGAGTGGACTGCAATTACAGTGATTACTTTAAAACACTTAGTGGAACAACACCTTTATTTACTGTAGAAAGAAGGAGAAGAAGAAGGATAGGGCAAGAAGAAAAGGAGAAGGAGAAGAAGAAGAAAAAGGACAAGAAACAGGAGAAGAAGAGCACCTCCTTTGGCAAACATGCGCTTGAGAAGGAAATCATGCAAAGTGTCTTATTTTAATAACTTTCTGTGTCTTGTGTACTAAACTCTAGTTCAATAAAAACAACGCCGGTGATAATAACAGAGCAGTTAGAGCTCAAAATAAGAGTAAGAGAGCAAGGAAAGACTTCCTATTAAGAGCGAAAAAGCTATCTTCTCAGATTTTTCTCAAGGCTCGGTGCTTACCTGTGAAAGGTCTGGGATATCTCCTCGATCAATGCCCACCTGCTGTTAGACAAGAAAAACAAAAAGAATTACAATCACGTCCCTGCAGCATTAAGGCATTTCACTGAACAAAAAACATCTTAAATAAGAGCAGAAAGGCGTTTCTGTAAAAAAAAAAAAAACATTAAGTTCTTGTTACCTCTGCTACTTTGAGGAACTCTGATATCCGGGTCATTCGGGTGAGAAACTTCTTGTAAATGTCCAAACCTTCTTTACATTGAGTCTTCTTCATGTCAAAGTATTTCTCTATTTAGTGAAAAGAATAATTTTGTATGAGCCACCACAAAGAATTGGGCAGAAAATGAAGACAAAAGGTGAAAGTGGTCTTACCGAGCAGGTTGATGATGCCTTCATTGTAAGCAGCGAAGAGCCTGATGGAGTCTTTGAAGAGCAGCATGAAGGCTGCATTGATGACTCCATTAGTCAGCTCGTTGGCATTGACCTGAGGGAAAGCAGTCGTTTATCTTAGAGCTCCCCCACAGCGATGTGTTGACGTGGATAAACAAACTACAGTAATGCATCTGCCTCAGTTTGCAGCAGCCTCTTCCAGCTGCTTTTTACTACACGAGCTGCAGCGCTGCGGGGGGCTTCACCTCAAACTCACATTGAAATCGAGGAGGGCATCCATCTGGTTCTGAATAATTGGGATGGTCTTCAGCAGCTTCTCTGTGTTCATGGTCCTCATTACGCCGTCCACTCTGTGCGGACAAAGCAAGGGTCGGAGCAGGAGAGGGAAGAGAGGGGGAAGGTGGGGGGGAGACCGAGAGAGAGATGAGCAAACAGCTCCTAAAAAACAGACTGAATGTATTTCATTTTTATGACAGATGTCATGCTTAAACCCAAAAGATATTCAGTGTACAATCATACTTATAGGTAATAATAATTAAAAAAAAACAGTTTTGAAGATATCTGGAATATTGTAATTGGTTTATTTCTGAAATGTTTTAGACTACATAAAATACTTGAGATGTTTAACAATAAAGAATATGATAGTTTGTTGCAGACTAAATACCATTCTTCTTTCAGATATATTACAAAAGTAAATATTTCGACAGTTTAATATTGTAGAATAGAAAATAAATATTAAAAATAATAGGTCCTTACCCGCGTTTAACTTTTGTGAAGTCAAAGGCGACCTGTCTGTATGAAACAGCTTTCTCGTTCAGATATCGACTATACCTCCTGATAAATGTGGACATGTCATAACCTGCAATGAAAAACAACAGAAGGAAAATGTACTTTAAGAAACAGAGCATCATTTCAGAATAACTTAGAACTACAATCAACAACAGCCAGAATCAAATTGTTACCTTGTAGCCCACTTTTGTCCAGAAAGTTACTGAGGTTGAATAATGTATTCCTTGAGGCCAAGTACTGGACAAACCGCTGTGAGGAAGGGGAGACAGGTTAACAAAACAACACCACACTCCTAATAGGTAACACATTAATGGTGAAATGGTCTGCCTGTGCATGCTGAGGAGCGTCACCTCGTTGCCATAGACCATGAGGTGCTGTGTGGTGATGAGAGACTTAAACACCACCACCCAGCTGGTGTTGGTGGTCCGCTCAAACAGAGAGTCCGCCAGCTGGGGGATGTTCACATTCATCTCATTGGTGCAGTGGATCAAATCTAAAACAAAACACAAGTTTCCGTTAAACATAATATGTGTAACTATCAAAAATAAACGTTTTATTTTCCAAGGCTGAAGAAAAAAAAAAGTCCATCAAAAGAAAATGTCAAACTGCTCTTCTCCAATATACTGTGCTTCATCCTTCCATTATTTTGAATATAACTGCAGCAATACATATTTTATTATGATAAGACAATTGTTGTAGTCCATTATTGCGCAAATATTTGGATAATCGTTAAGTCTTGATAATAGTAAAATTACAATTTGTGTAAAAAACACCCGCTTAAATATAATCCGTTATTGTGTAAAAAAAACTGTGAAAATATCATTGCACAATCGATAGTGTGTCGAGTTAGGGATATTTGATATTTAGTTCTATATATAGATATTTGATATTTGATCAAATACCCTTGTATTAATATCATTATATTGGGTGGAGGTGACAGAAGGAGAAGAGGTATCTGATTTTCCAAGGCTAAATATATAATGATATATATACACACACACACACACACACACACTCATATAAACCAGCATATTCTGAGTGAATTGTCAAAAGGCCTAACGATGAGTTAGTGAACAGACAACCTGCTGCCTACGATGAAAAGTAAAAAGCGACCACAGATGCACCATTTCATTTTTGGATGTCTGAGACAAAAACAGTCTCCGATGTGACTCACACTTAACTCCTCCACAACAGGTCATTATGTGCAGTTTGGTCACCTGTTAGCAGCGTTCGCAAAATACCAAAAGTTGCAAAACACACTGCTGCTAATTCCTATATTTAAGTGGATACTTTTCAAAGAGAGGTTTGGTCAAGTTAAAACTGAAAATAGATTACAAATTGATCTCCAAATAAAATATTAACATAAAATCTTGACACAATAACTTAGATATTCAATTGATTGTTTAAGTTATGTCTCAAGCATTCTCTGGGCTTTGCCGATGTTCTCCACCTAATACCATTCTAAAGGAAGTATCAAATGTTCATATCTTATTTATTCAGTTGTATTCCCTCTACTGTATATACCCCCCTGAAAACCTCTGTAGAATGTATAATTGAAGTTGGTTATTCATTTACATTTTAAATTACCCAAAATAGCAAAGATATTACTGCTGACTTTTTGCTGGCATGTTATATTCTAGAATAGATGCTTGATTGCCAAATCTATTCGTCAATTATTAACTGTTAATACATCTCATTGTTAGTGACAATAATTACCCTGTAGACCCGAGTTACAATTACAGAATAATTCTACTCAAAATACCCTAAAATAACAGTATGTTAAGCAAGAAGTTTTCTACATAAAATTAGCATAATAAACATAGAACCATCACCGATGCAATCAGGGACCCCTGAAGCAGAAGCAGACACTGATAGCATTCATTTCAATTGTTAATGGCATGAAAACATCCTTTTAACAGAGCAAGGTAAAGTGCAGGACATTAAGATGTAAATCATACATTTTCTGCCCCACTTCCTCTCCAAACATGTTTACCCTACATCCATGTGCTGCTTGAATGATGTTAGTCAAAGTGAGAATAACCCTGCCATTCACAGCAGCGATCAGACTGACGGGGTAATTGGGCCTCCTTTTCTGTCCTATATTTGACTTTTCAAAGGCGGGGGACTTTAAGTAGGACAGGATAACCTTCCAGAGAAGCAGCAGCAGTTAGCATGGGTGGCTGAGCTGCCCACAGAAGAAGATGATGAAGAGGAGATGAGTACGAGTAAGGAGGAGGAATATGGGGGAGGAGGATAAACTGACAGCACTGTCATGTAACAATCAGCCACTAAATATTCACTGTGGTTAACATTAATGATTCTAATTCATTAATGTAACAATCATGAAGGAGCATGACGCTGCTGAACAGTGTTAATCACCATTAGGGTGGGATATATGTTGGGAGTTAATATATAATCACTAAAAACTAACTCAGGATAACCTTGCAAATGTGTTAATTTGCCCATTACTTTTACAGATTTCTGATGTAGTAATGTTTCAGTATTGGCAGCAAGATAGTTTAGGCAGGTATCGTAATTGTATCAATCCTAATTTTCTAAATAATGACTCTATAAACTTATTTTTTTGCCCAGAAGCACTAAATAACTATGTGGAGGACGAGGTATCCAACCCTAATACTGTCTGTTATAGTACAATAAATGTTTGTAGCATTGATTTTCAAAAGTTGCCAATAATCAAAAAAACTAAAATCCTAAAATAGATCCAGTCACTGTTTTACTTGTGCAAAGTCAAAACACGGTCAAAACAACAGAGGAGAACAAGCAATATGTAGAGACAATCACACACATCTCTGATGATTGTGATCTGCATGATTGCGAGTGAATTAAGTGTTGTTACAGAGAGGAACAAAGTAAGAGATCAGGCCAGAACAGAATAAAAAAAACTGCCATCAAATGTCAGATTAATAATCTGGTTTATTTAAAAGGTTCCCTGTATAGTTTTTGACACAACTCCACAAATCAACAGGTGGGGATAACGCTCCAATAGACTCATGAAATAAATATAATTTAAACGCTATTTTCTTATCGGACTGCTTATGATGACATATATTTGACTATTGATAACTTTGGCTTCTGGTTAGGTAAAACAAAGAGTTGTAGGAAATTGTAAAAAGTATAATACCCAAAGTCCCAAAAACTCATGTATCCTAGTTGAACTAAAATCAAAAAGCCAAAGTCTTCCATCAAGCAAAAAGGACAAATATTACCTTGTTCCAACTTCTCAAATCTAAAGAGTTTTTGCTTTTCTTTGCATTATGTTATCGTAAACTCAATATCTTTAACTCAATATCTTTAGGTTTTAGACCTTTGGTCAGACAGAATCAATCATTTTAATGCATTAGCTTGACCATCGTCTCAAAACCTTCCTGCAAAACTGCTTAGGATAGGACAACATTTAAGACTACGATACAACCATATTCATATCCAGCCATAATTGTGCATACTGCAAGTATGATCTCTAAATTTAGGCTTTTCCCGATCTCTTTCTCCCCTCATTTAAAGTATTGATAACTCTCTAATAAAAAAGGCATGCAATTGCCATATACAATACTTACATATTAGGGAAAACTTAGGGAAAACTCTACTATCATGTCAGAAGGGACATAAAGTAATCCATCTTAATGTATACACTATAAATCAAATAATCCAGACACCTTCATGTTTCAACATTAAACAAGATGATACTGTGTTCATACTGTATCTAAACAGATTATACACTGTTCTGTATACTGAGACACGTCAGTCACATTGGATATTTGAGTCTCACTCTGCCAACTTTTGCTCATCTCACCTCAGGGGAGTGAGCCCGAGCAGCACAACAGGTGTGGAACCTGCAACTTTTAACATTGAGCCAAAATATTCAGCAAGTAACCATTACTTATGACCAGTTAACTCATATTATCTTCGATTCCTCTCCACAGATCATGACAATGAGCCTGGATTCAGCACACACTTTTTCCTGAACTCTTATGATGACGCAGGACATTTTATCAAAAAACTCTTTCATTGCTGCCATCATGCATTTGCAAGTGCAGATCAATATGCAGAAAATCTACCCACTGCCTGCTTAAGTACAGAAGAACAGTGACTCCTCTTTCTGGGAGTGCATCACACTAATGGTCACACGAGGATTTAAGCTATTGTGCTTACGTCAGGGTACAAGCAGAAGTGTTTGACTTCCTGAGTAAAGGAGGAAGGAAAGTCACAAACCTCAGCCACAAACTCAGATTTATAGTGTCTTACACATCATGATAACTCCATGAGAAACACCAGGTTTTTACTCAATCACTTCACCCTGTAGCCTGCAAGAGACACTTGTCCAGCTGCAGGTGCACCAAGATGGGAGATGAAATTGGACTCCAGTAAATGTTCATATCAGGGCCTGTGAGAGTCAGGGGCCCACTAGTTTACACCGATTTACCTGTTTCCTTTAAGATTCAGCTCAATAAATATTCATCCAATGTATCTGCAACGCAGGCTAAACATTTAAGATACAAATCAATGAGTAGACATGGGAATGACACGAGAAAAGGGGTGAACAAAACCAGACAGCCAGATAAGCTAGTCTGACAGCTATTTGTGACAAAAAATGAAAAGAAACCCATTTGTAAGGCTTAATAAAGGGACACTACGTCTTTCAACCCGTTTTAATTATGTAGAGCACTATGTCAACAAGGCCTGTGCGCGATGTTATAACAATATAATCTCCCTGACATGAGCAATTTAGCATGTAGCATCGCTTAGGCTTTGAGGCCTGGTAGCTCCTCCACCGCCATAACTCAGACAGCTGAAGCGGCGTTTCCGCTCAGCCTGCGGTGATTTAACACTTGTGTGCTGTAAAGTTGAAAAAAAAGGATACTCACAATCCAAATGTTTCTTTTTCGGGCCCATTACTTCGTGAGTGGTTGCCTTGCATACTGTTTTTGACACGGCGGATCCCGTTACACTGTGCTGGGCTGCAGTTATCCTGTCCGTAATGCTCTGCCCCGACATCTTCACTCACTCAATGCAACAAAAGACTTTAGAATTGTTGTTTGAATTTTTATCTTCGGGTGTGAGCTTTTAAGGGGAAAAAAATAAAATAAAACCTCCACCTCCTCCGCAACCTTGCCGGACCCCCTTTCCCACCTAGGTGGAATAAAAAAAATCAAAACTAGGCTATGGCAGACGCGGACCAGGGGAGGGCGGAATAAAGAGAAGCGGAATCCGACAACAACAACAATCAGAAATTGTTAAATTGTTTCTTCTTTCTGGCGCTCCGTCAGTCAGATTTCAGGGATGCCGTGATTGCAGGGTCCACTCGCTGACTCATCCGACCCGGGTCTCTGTGTCGCTCTCATCCCGATGTGGCACGCCGGATCCCTGCGTCTCTCCTCCTGCCTGCCTCCGCCGCTCCGCCAGTCGTCGCCGCCGCTTCTCCTCCTCCTGCCGCTGCTCCGCCGTAAAGCGCTGAGAAATAAAAAAGACTACCGAGGAGGAGGCGAAATGGCGGGCCTGCTTTGCTCTGTCTGCCGAGCTCTGAGGGTGAAAACCTGCCTGAACACACGACACACGCCGCCCCTGCAGAGCCTGAATCAGATGTTACGCTGCTGAGCTCCCATAATGTCTGCTGTGGTGCAGGTGTACAGCAACTGACCGCAGGCCAGCTGGGGAGGAGGGAGGGGGCACAAATGCTCAGTCAGAGGCCTGGAGGAGAGGGTGAAGCCTGCATGGATCAGTGGGGAATGGACATGACAAAGTAAGGCTGCAACAGGCGTGTCACAGTGAACACATGACAGTTTTGGGATGTTTCAAACTATATTTATAGACATTATTTGTATCTTGTCATAGCTCACGTAAAATCACTAATATAATATCGCAATAAAGAGTTGTGATATTGTGGCATTCAAATGTAAACAGCCATTTAAAATGACCACACCTGATATAGTTCTCACCATAAATTAATTGACTTATACATTTCTATTTACCAGACATGTGACATGTTTACAGCATTTTGTTATAGAAGCTACTTTTACATCCTGCTGTGACAATAGTTCAGAAATAAATAAACCCTGCACAAAAAAACAATGTAGTGCTAGTGGAAACTGTGGGGTTGAACAACTACATCAAAACTCTTCTGACGATATTGCACATGTTCTTCTCTAGGCTAATGATCAAAAAGTGAGTTATCTGGCTTTGAATGAACTAGAACGTTCATTAATATTATATATTGACACTTCTTATGCTCATCGATGAGCATAAGAAGTGTCAATATATAATATTAATTAATTGTATTATTGTCTATGTATATATCTTAAAGATCTATAAGATATATACATAGACATAGGCCTACCTTTGACATAATACAGTGATCTTCCAAAATGCAATGCAAGAGATATCAGGCATTTGTTCATTTGTTGCTTTTTTTAGTCAATTAAGAATAACTACGGTGGCCCTGAAGTGCAAGTCGAAACAGCATTTCAGGAAACACCACAGCATTTCAGAAAACGCTACAGCATTTCAGGAAACACCACAGCATTTCACAAAACACTACAGCATTTTAGAAAACACCACAGCATTTCACAAAACACTACAGCATTTCAGGAAACACCACAGCATTTCCCAAAACACTACAGCATTTTAGAAAACGCTACAGCATTTCAGAAAACATCACAGCATTTCAGAAAACGATACAGCATTTCACAAAACGCTACAGCATTTCACAAAACACCACAGCATTTCACAAAACACTACAGCATTTCACAAAACACCACAGCATTTCACAAAACACCACAGCATTTCACAAAACACTAGAGCATTTCACAAAACACCACAGCATTTCACAAAACACCACAGCATTTGAGAAAACACCACAGCATTTCACAAAACGCCACAGCATTTCACAAAATACCACAGCATTTCAACTGATACGGAAAGGGTATTCCTTTAGTGAGAACACTTCTTGTTTGTGATTGGACAGAGCAAGCCAGAGATGCACTGCTGTGATTGGTTGTTTTTGCTGCCAGTCAAGAAGTTACGCTTCGTGATTGGTCAGCACCCGACAGCGCAACATGTCCCGAAACAGCTGTTAGCACAGCTAACGGCACACTCATATCTGTTCAGAAACTGGACAAAAGTTAAACATGAACAAAGTCTATGTCATGGTGAATACAGTCACTGCTTTATTTATGTCTGTATGCCGTTGTTGTGAGTTTGGACAGAGCAGCCGCTACAGGTTGGTTTATCCTGATCGATCCGATCTCCATTCAGAAAACACGCATTTTAAAAGGTTTTTTGCCTGCCGTCTTGTCTGCACACTTGTCACAGCATTAATTCATGGTTTTTACTAACCGGTATCAGTATGTTGTTACTTCGGCATCACTTTTTAAACGTGTATTACAATTAAATCACGGTAAAATATGTTCATTTTGTTGTAGTTGGTATCTACCAAAGTATTTGCATGGATATAAGCCCCGCCCCCTCTCCAGCGTGTCTTGTTTGAATGACAGGAGTAAACCCAGCTGACAGCCGGGGTGAAACCTGAAACTCGAGCGATTAGAGCGAGGCGGGGCTTATAGAGAGGCGAAGTCCCTCCCTTTCCGGGGGAGCTTCATGGGACCTTATTTCGGAAAAAGTATGTATTGAAGTCAATGGAGAGAGAAAGATTATCTTTCGATCCCATTTGAATTGTGCCACGAATTACACATATGATGTTTGTCAATTTAAAAGATAATTTTTCAAGTCAAAAAAATAAAAATGTGTCGTAAAACTGTGAAGTAACACTTTTTTTGTGTGAAACCGCTCAATTTTTTCATTTAATTTCAAACCTTTATTTAACCAGATTGGTCCCATTGAGATCATAGATCTCTTTTTCAAGGGAGACCTGCAGCATATAGGTTCCACATGAAACATAAAACAATAAAGGACACCATACATTATATTTACAGGATACATTTACATACAGTAGTTATAGACATTTACCCATAGTATCAACGAGCATTTCATTTAGCCTAGCTTTAAAAACATGCAGAGGAATGAGATTGCTCAGTTTCAATTCTTGCTGAAGATTGTTCCAAGCAAGTGGAGCTGCGCACATAAAAGCTGTCTTACCTAAGACAGTCCTTGCTCTTGGCACATCTAACAATACTACATCATGCGATCTCAGACAATAGCTGCTTGCAACTCTCTGTGTTATCAGAGAGCAGATATAATACGGGAGTTTACCCAACAAAGCTTTATAAATAAACGTATACCAATTACTGAGTCAATGAACTACATCTCCTCTCCAGTCCACATACCAAGATGGCCGTCACGTTAGCACATTACACTTCTTTCTTTCAGAATGAGGCGAAAAGTATTAAAAAGAGGTGAAAATCACTACAAGTCTGGGCATGTTTAGAGCTGTACATACAAAAAAGGGGAGTTAGTCGGTTCCGTAAGAACCAGCATGCGGGACCGGGATTCTGGGATTTGTAGTCTTTCTAGTTGCGTATTTTTCATAGTCTTATATTTCAACAGTTTTACGACAAACTCTGACTTTTTTGACATGGAAATAATTTTTTAAGATTGACAAACATCATATGTGTGGCACAATTCAAACGGGCTCGAAAGATAATCTTTCTCTCTCCATTGACTTCAATACATAATCTTTCCGAAATAAGGTCCCATGGGGCGGAAGTAGAAGGGCGGGACTTCGCCTCTCTATAACCATGTAAATACTATGGTAGACTACAACAAAACAACCTATTTTACCGTGATTTAATTGTAATACACGTTTCAAAAATGATGCCGAAGTAACAACATACTTTTTACCAGTTAGTAAAAACCATGAATTAATGCTGTGACAAGTCTGCAGACAAGACGGCAGGCGAAAAACCTTTTAAAATGCATATTTTCTGAATGGAGATCGGATCGACCCGGATAAACTAATCCGTCCAAACTCACAACAACGGCATACAGACATAAATAAAGCAGCGACTGTATTCACCATGATAGACAGTCTGTGGTTTGTTCATGTTTTTTTGTCCAGTTTCTGAACAGATATGAGGAGCTTTGAGCTCTGTGTGCTAACAGCTAACGGCTGATGTTTCGGGACATGTTGCGCTGTCGGGTGCTGACCAATCGCGAAGCGTAATTTCTTGACTGGCAGCAAAAACAACCAATCACAGCAGTGCTTCTCTGGCTGGCTCTGTCCAATCACAAACAAGAAGTGATCTCCCTAAAGGAATACCCTTTCCGTATAAGTTGAAATGCTGTGGCGTTTTCTGAAATGCTGTGGTGTTTTGTGAAATGCTGTGGTGTTTTCTCAAATGCTGTGGTGTTTTGTGAAATGCTGTGGCGTTTTCTGAAATGCTGTGGTGTTTTGTGAAATGCTGTGGTGTTTTCTCAAATGCTGTGGTGTTTTGTGAAATGCTCAGGGCCGGCCCTAGACTTTTGGGGGCCCTAAGCGAGCTTTGGCTTGGGGGCCCCCCTCACTCTAGTGCATTCTCACTACACACAACACGGAACCAACTTTTGTCTTATGATGTTAGCATAAGCACACATATTGTATAAATAAGTATGTAAACACCGTGGACCTAACCTCCTCTAGGGGGGTCCGGGGACATGCTCCCCCGGGAAGATTTTTTTTTAAATATTGAAGTTAAAAGCATCAATCTGGTGCACTTTGAGAGCAAAATTAAGAGATCTATGGATACATCTCTCAACACCCATATGAAACAGAACTGTAAACAGATTTCTCTTTATGGATATTTTACAAATCACTTAAACTGTATTCTTGTTTTGTCATATAGTATTTCATAACTGTTTTTCATTTATTCTCTCTGGCTGTCCACCTCATAATGTTCACATAGACACTAGTTGTCAATAGGAATATCATTCAGAAGAATTATAATTTCATGCAAAAATCTGTCACAAAAAGAGGTTGCACATTTAAATTCAGGTGTTGTTATGGCAACGTCAGTGGCCAAACAGCCACATTTACTGCTGCAAATACATTCAAACATGCTGTAAAGCAGTGGCAACTATGCCACCACTTCAGCTGACTTTTTCTCAGAAATACTGTCACATAACATCCATATACTTCAGTGCTAGGTTGATGCTTAGCTAAGCTAACTATGAAACACTTTAACTGACAGGACTCAGGATCAACTGTGTACTGTAAGGTAGCTTCTAGCTTCATGTCGAACAGTAAGTCAAAATTTCCCAGAGAGCTTTCTTTGAAATCACCAGGTAACGCTAAAAACATAACATTTAGATTGTATGACAAAGTGTTTATTTAATATATCTGGCTAGCTATAGCTACTTGCTAACGGTTTAGCTTACCCCCACGATTCAAAGTAACGTCAACGTAGCTGTAATTTATGCTTTGCTTACATGTTCGCATAACTTGGAAGTTTACTGACATTTACATACCTTGTTTACCTGGCTCAAGTGGTGGCTCTGGGGTTGTTGTGTGAGCCACCACTTGAGAATTGTGGTATTTCTTAAGAAAAAAATGTCTTATGTCCATCTTCAAAAACTCTGAGTCCGACTGACAGTTTATTTTAAACATTGTCACAGCTCACAGGATAGGTACCTGTCATCCAATAAGACAGATGTTTATTTCCATTCAACTCTCTGGTTGGTCTGGTGTCTTGCCTCTGTTGCATTCACTGAACACGGGAAATTACAATCCTGCCGTCCTCTCTAGTGTCATGATGAGGTTCAGCTAAAGCACGGTTAATGTATTATATTATTGACTCAATAAATATCAAAACA